CTGCTCATTCCACTAAAAAGTGTGAAATAAAATAATTTTGGGGAAACTTCCGAAAAGCCCCCCCCCCCCCCCCCCCCCCCCCCCGCCCTAGGACAACCAAACTTCGGATTTATAGTAATTGAGGGACGAGAAATCGAATGAGACCATTTTCAGAACTGGCAAATAAACCGTTCTCGAGATATACAGGGTATTTTAAAAGTGTGGGATCCCCCTATTATCTCGATAAGAACGCATTTCCACGGAAAATGACTAAAACAAAAGTTGTAGGGGTCGTAAAGGATTATCTTGTAGTGACCTTGAACTTAACCTTGCATGTTAGGGTTAGGTTAGGGCAATTACTATAAATCGGAAGTTTGGTTGTCCTAGGGTGGGGGGGCCTTTCGAAAGTATACCCGCGAAGTTTAGTTGTCTTAGGGTGGGGGGGCCTTTCGGAAGTATACCCAATAATTTCTATTTCATTTATACAAATACCCAACAGCTATTAATAAAACCTATTTACTCGTTAAATAGTATATTAAATACATTTCAATCTTTTTGGAGGCGGTGCAAAATTAAAAATACCCGAATATACGATGCTGCCAATAACGATTTGATACGTTGCCGACGCCTGAACTAGGATCTTCCTAGTAGAAGAGAAGTTTTTAATTTTGAGCCGCCTCCGAAAAGGTTGAAATGTATTTAGTATACTATTTAACGAGTAAATAGGTTTTATTAATAGCTGTTGGGTATTTGTATAAATGAAATAGAAATTATTTCATACCTTTTAGTGCATTTCGAAGTCGGTTGTATTTTTTGTTAAAAATTATTTTATTATCGAATCTTTACTGTATTTTTATAATACATACCCTTTCGAAAACCATATGACCTCTATCATTGAAAGTCGAGAAGTCCTTAATCAAGACATCCTTAACAAGATCCAGATCAAGCATTACAAGGCTAGGTGATCTTCTTTTGAATATACCAATCATGGGTTCATTTTTGTATTCCTCATAAAGCTTTAGAACATATTCGTTCATCGCATATTTTCCAAGGATAACATCCTTGACATTTCCAAATACAGGTATCGGTCGTGGACCAGGTACGCCACGATTTTTCCAGAAATCGAAGGTCGATGTAAAGTAATAATACACAGCAAGGAACAACACCGCAAACACACTCAGCAATTGGAAATAATCAGTCATGTTGAAGCAGTAATAATGCCACAGTCGACGAGTCTCGTATCAAAGTGGACGGTTTACTGAAAGATATTATACGCTTCACTCGATTCTGCGCTCTTTCTTATTCGATATGACGTTCATTATCATGATTTTGTTTTTTAACTCTGTAAATACTCGCAGCGTGTACATGTTTACAAAGTGGTGCGTCTAATTGCCGTGGTTTTCTGTAAAATTGCCATGAGTCTGCGGTATTTACAATTGTTTATGATAATATAGGGTGGAATCATTTTTGCTACGAGAGTAAATTTAAATAATCTTTGCATTCTTAATTATTTCCCGCGCATTTAAATTCAATTGAAATTCTAATTATCAAGAATAGGAATAGTCAATTTTTTCAAATTTTCTATTCAAAACAATATTTCTCTATTGTATTTTTTTTTTTTTTAATTATTTGAGCATATCTAATTTACGGTGCTGATCACTGGTGACCTCACAGCATTTCAAAGTGTAAAACTATTAATATACTCCTATTGAAGATACGAATGGATAAAAGTATCATCTATAATTTTTCCAAAAATTAATTTCGTAGTTTAATAACATTCATAAAGTAACACTATATCAACCTAGCATATCTACTTCCTTCTATTGTCCTAATTTCGAGTTTTGAAAAGATAACATCTATATGCTGTGAAAAGTTAGAAAATGTTTAACTGATGTTTTTATTTAAAAACTAAAGAGGAATCTTGTTATCATTACAACCAACGACAGTATAATTTATAATTATCTAATTACTGTTTGATAATTAACAGATAAGATGAATGTAGAAATTTTAATTGAAAATCCTTAAATCAACTTTGCTCCAAGTAATTAATTGGTGATATGACATCTTTATACACGCGGGTCCTTAATTATTCTAAAAAAAGAAATGTTACTGATAATTTAGACATTATGATCCAAAGGAATGTAAGTGCCTTTTGAAATTTTTGAATTAAGAACAGAAATAGTTAAACTGTTAAATACATTGTTGTAAATAAAATATAAATAATAATTTCGCTTGTATCTTTTTAGTTTTAAGTGCCTCAATTAAAAATAAAAAGATTATTTTAATTTACTGCTCCCCATTCTGTACTTACAATAGAACTCCGTTTGTTTACACTCCACTTATTCAAATAAATGTATAAATATTCAGTTTCAAATATGTACATATGTATATCAATTTATAATTGAATTCTTATTATTCACTAGATTTAGTAATATGAACAACAAACACTTATTTTTATATTGAACGTTTTAAACAGTTATTTGTGTTGGTAATAAATTATATATCTGTCATGAAAGGAACACTTAAATATGTATAATATAATCGTGGTTAAGTATGAGTCACCTCACTTTAGACAAACCGCACTGATGTGCTCAACTCTAGTTACACGAAGATCAGCTTCATTATATAAATGACAAGATAGTAGCAGGAGGCAGGACTGGATTAAGGTTCTTGGGATCCCGGGGCTACCAAACTTTCTATGGGCCCTTTGCTTAATCAACTTGGTTTAAAAATTGAAATTTACTTTGAATCAAATTAAATAAATGAAAAAAAGCAGCAGTAGGAAATTTTTTTTCAATACTGTTTGACATAGTGAATGGAAGACTTATAACGGGGCCTTCTGCAAAGTGAGACTCGGGCCTGTAGCCCCCTTAGATCCCTGTTCAATTTGGCGTTGGCGGTGGGAGAGTAAGTGGACTTCTATTATCAGAACTGTACACTAAACCACAGATGTTCAGAAGAGTTCTGGGCTTCTCCTGCTCCATACCTTTTCCCCTTAAATGGATTTCAAGTAGGTTAGGTTTGATAAATTACATTTAAAATAGATTTAAAATAGATTAGGTTTAATAGATTAAATTTTAAATAGATTTTATGATACTGTATTTTAAGTTGTAATTATTCTAATGTATTAAGTTTCATAAATATAAGTACGTGTTTCTGGCATACTTACAATTAGATCCAGCCATTCAAGTATGCAACGCATTCATTTGTGGGGCGGGGGAGGCGGGCGGTTGTTAAATTCAGTAAAATTTGTGATATTTTAAGCATTAAATGTGTTAAATATGTAAATGATTAAAATTAACCTTAAAATTAAGATATTCTGTATTAAGTATAAAGAAACTATGCAATTATTTTCAACCGACTTCGGAAAAGGAGAAGGTTACTCAATTCGATCAATATGTCTTTTTCTTTTTCTTTTCTTAATGTATGTTCGTCGACTACTCCGAGAGGGATGGACCAATCGAAACGAAACCTTTTGCATTTTGTAGAGTATTTCTCCCGATTGGTCCCGTTAAAAAAACATTTTGCATTTTTTCATTGCTGTAACGTCGCGAGGTCTCTCTCTCACTGATCCTTGGCGTCACTTATGTATTTTAGAATTGTTAGTTAAATAGAGGTTCTCACTTACCTTCCACTTGGCGAGTAGAACCTATCTGCGAATAGAACCTGTTGGGGTGAGTCGTCCAGGTATTGGAACGGTAGGGTAGATGGTTCGAGTGAAGATCACGCAATCCGATCACAAGTATGTTTATTCACTACTGGTACAGTCTTTAGATTCGCTAGCGTTTTTACAATTGAAGTTTACGGAACCTTGCTCTGTCGAAGTACTGTGCTTCGTAGCAGAGTCATATAGGTTTAGACTTATTTAATTAATCGAGTTACCGGAATCTTGCTCTGTCGAAGCACTGAGCTTTCGTAGCAGAGTCGTGTAGATTCTTGAGGATCAAACTCGGAACGGTACTTCGCGGATTATATTCGCGGATTTTAGTACTTGTACTTGAATTGAATTTCGAACTGCGCGCGCCGTGAATTATTACTTTGAACTGCTAACTACGAACTAACGAACTAACTGCGCTCTCGGATATTATTGTTACTGCACGTTACGAACTAACTGGGAGCGTGTTCGATCGCGTTATTTTATATTGATGAAAAGAGGTTGCAACGTTTCATTTGTCAATTCGGGTGAACCACCTTCGTTCGGGTTGTCAGCATTCTCACAGTACGTCGACCCGAATGAACTGCTCACTCAGAATTGCGAAACGATGAATTTGGATGATGAAAAAGGAATTTAAAGAAATCATCACAGGACGTGACACCTGGCCGCCTAGATTGTTGCATATCGGTACGATATCAACGAATAAAGTAAGGATTTTATAGAGCAATTGTGTTATCCAAATTCATAGTTTATGTTTTTATGAGTTAGATGAATTTTACAATTTTGAGATGAGTGTAATTACAATATTTTGTTAGTTGGTGTGATTTTGTTGCGCTGAGTATTTTTTTTTTTGGCTAGTACTTCTTTGTACTTTTGCTAATCAGTGTGTTATAAAGAGTAAATGGTTTTTGGGTGACCATTTACTTCCCTCCCCGCTGAGATTGAAGCGGTAGGGGTACGTAACGGAGTTATAGTGCGTGTATAGCAGGCATGGGCAGACTTTGCTCATTCGAGCCCGCTCCCGATTCCTCGCGAGCGGCCATGAGTTGCCGTTAAATCGTCGATCGAGGAGAAGGCGTTTCTTCAACTTATTGTTAGTCGTTAGATATTCCATGTAGTGGGGATAGCGCTTTAAAGAGGTGGGGTATGTACCCTGACGTGAGTTGCATTGAACTTGTCGCAGTGAAGTTGGCTACAAATTCACTAACACATTCACGCCGCGTCGGTGAGCCAATGGCGAGATCGGTTCACCGACGCTGCGGCGTGAATGTGTTAGTGAATTTGTAGCCAACTTCACTAACGCATTCACGCCGCGTCGGTGAGTGAATGCGTGGCTAACTTCACTGCGACAAGTTCAACGCAACTCAATGAGTCCCATCGAAGTTGTCGCAGTGAAGTTGGCTACACATTCACTAACACATTCACACCGCGTCGTCGGCACCTCGCCCATCGGCTCACCGTCGCGGTGTGAATGTGTTAGCGCGCCAACTTCACTGCGACAACTTCGATGGAACTCAATGTACATGTGCATCTCACCATAGCTAAACAAAAGAACGCAACGTCGAGAGATTTGAGGAGTGGGGCATAAGCCTTGTCTGTTTCATTTCGCGTTGCCTTCCTCTCCTGTAGGTCGTGCTCATTTTACTACTTGCTGCCCATGCCTGGTGTATAGAATACTTTTGTAGACTGACACTTCTGGGCTTCTTTTGTTAAATTTTAAATTCAAGGTTTCTAGAATGAAGACTGGTGTTTATTAGTTCCTCTATTGCGGGAGGTATGTGCTGAGGCAGCGAGTGTCGCGAGTCCCTTGCTTCCGAGTATTGTCAGGTGCTCCGTGGTTTGTGATTACTTGAACCTTTTGTGCACCTGGTCGGGTGTTTGGTATATATTCTTGTCTGGCGAGTAGGATCGTCACTTTAAAGAATTGTTATGTACTGTATCAAGGAAAGAAGAAAGAAAAAAAAGGTGTAAATAAGATGGATTTGTTTCCGCCGCTGCAGGAAGTGTTTTATTCCTGGGTAAATGGTCTTGTGGTGGTTTTTTTTGTTTTTTTTTTTTTTTTTCTTATGGTGTGTTTTGTTGCAGCGCACGAACAGGACGTATGTGATCTATCGCGGTCACGTCAATGTATTATATCGATTGGCCGTGCAACAGTAGCGGAAGGAGTTTCCCCAATACTTGCGAGACTTGTAGGACTGGGACGAAGACCGGCTTCTAAACATTGCGCCGTTCTTTGAATGAAATTTGTGTCGAATGAAATTTTTTTTTAATTTTTATTTTGAATAAATTATCTTTTATTTTCCTTTTCACTCTGTATATTGTTATTTAATAAACTTTCCTTCCTATTTTCAATTTGTGTATTGTTATTGAATAACTTTTCCTTTTTATTTTTGAATAAATTTTACTTTTTATTTTGAACTTGTGTATGTTTATTTGTGCGTATTCCCTTGCGTTCCTTCCTGAATTGGGTATATTTAGTTTAATTCTTCTAGCGTGAAGACTGGCATTTGCCTTTTCGTTGTCGGTTCTGGTTCGGGTGGTTTGATTGCAGGTGGTTGTAGTGGGACAGGTGGTGATATCCTCCATTTTAGGCTGTTTGGTTGCTCTATCTTTATTTCATTCAGTTCGATGTCTTTGTTTCTCGTTAGGCGTCTTCGTCTTGGGAGCTTTTTGATGTTCTTGTTATTCTTTAATGTCACCAATAGATATGTAATTGAGCTGAAGGTGGCTCCCAGTAGGTGCAGGGACCATCCGTATAATGTGTGTAGTGTGTATCCTCATATGATTGTGTCGATTATTAGTTTGCAGATGTGAATGATTATAAGGATCATTATTGCTGCTGAACTAATAGAACCTTTGATGAATTTTTCCACGAATTTATTCCAAGTATTTTCTGTTATGTGGGATAGCGTGTTTTCCGTGAAAAGATTGTTTATTAATCCTCCTTGTACATTTTCTTCTGCCCCTCGCTATTGTGTTCAGCAAGGCTGATTTTCCTAGGAGGAACATGATATGTTGGAGTTTTGGAGGTCTTCCTGTGAATAAATTCCGCTCGATGCTAATGAATTCATCTCTTTGTACTCCTAGGAAATGTTCGTGTTAGGTTTTAAGATTCCTGGGTTCTGTGCTTTTCTCGGTGTTGGTGTTAATACTATCCAATTGTTGTTCAATTTGTAATACTGTGGAATAATTGTGTTGCATTCTATTTGGGTTCCTGGTTTCATTAGTATGTGCGTTTTAGGTGTTAGAAATCATGTTTGATTCCCAGAGATGACTGGTAACCGAGTGTAGCACTTGTCCGTGTGAAGTAGTTGTACTTCTTTTGGCGTGTATTTTATGATATGTGCCACTTTTCCTGCAATCCTAGCGATGTATCCTGGTTTTTCCATTAGATTGTACGCAAATTCGTCGGTTGAAATAGAGGCTATGGATAGGGAGTTATAGATTGTCTTCCTCTCCAGTTTGCATTTTTCGCTTAAAATATTTAGATATAAGTTCTGTATTTGAGCCCTGAAGTGTTTTTCTACGTATACAAATTTTGAGTTAGTGTATGTGAGCATGTCTAAGTTTAATATTTCTTTTGATGGTTGTGCGTCGTTATCGAATAGTACGTTGTTTTGTGTTCTTTCGTATATGATTAGTTTAGGGTGTTTAGTTTGTTAGTATTCTATTACAAGTTTTGATGTCTCCTTTCACTGCTAGTGCGAATGAGATGTCGGTTGTTTCTATTGTGTACAATGTTTTGCGGTTGTTAGATGCTATTTTTGTTACCGGACTTCGGTATAATACGTCGTATTTGGTTTTAAGACAATCTTCTCTCGGTAATGCTGACCAGAAGGTGTATCCTCCTTCCATGTCGATACAATGTTCGTCCGAAAATTTACAAACTGTTCCCGATGTTAAGTGTAATTTATCGTTATTAAGGCTAACTTGCGCGATGTATTCTATTAGTGTAATTTTTGGTAATTATGGAGATTAGGTTACACCTCACCGATTTTGATAAAATTTAAATATGTTGTAAAACTTAACATTTTGAACAACTTTTTCTACGTATGCCTATGCATCTACGGCGGCGTATGCGTCAGCAACGGACCGCCGCTTATCTACTGTGTTTATAAACACATCGTGGCGGTCGAAAAGCCATAGATATAACGGGTAAATGTTTTAAAACAAATGATGGTTTCGAAACCATACTTACAATTAGTCTGTAGAACAAATTTTCGGGGCGAATAGCAAGCATTGGATTCTTAAAGGCGTGGGCGGGGCCTCACATCTGTCCCATAAAATATAACCTAACCTAACTTAACGTAGTTATCGGAATAGGACGCTCCTGTATGTACATGAGCTCTTTATTGCGTTTCCTACAAGGCTACTCCTACGGATTTTGTGGAATTTATTTTTAAATTCGCAATTGTGTGAAAGCTGTCGTATTTAAATATCCCGATATTGTGTATGGATTTACAATTTTCGTGGCTTATGTCGAGAAGATATTCTTGTATCGCGTTTTCTGCTGGTACTAAATGGCTGAACATTCCGCATTGAAAGATTGTGCGTTGGATTTATATTTTACGTTGTATGACGGGGACTGTTCTGAATTCTGCTAATCTGTAGTCGTATCGTTGTGTTGGTAATGCTAACGTCTGCATGGTGGAAGTCGCATTCTCCGGTGTCCAGTAAAGAGTACGTTGACACGATCGGGTTGGTTGCGCCACAATCAAACCCGATTATTGCTTGGCTAATTTTGAATGTGCTGATACAAATTAATAGAATTAACTTCATTGTTGACTTTGTTCCTAGAAAGAAGGTTTATGTTATTTCCTGCGTTGCTCAATGCTTAATTTGTTCGCATGAACTGTTTTTGGCTTTCCTTTATAATCGATTGTTATATTATTGTTATTTCTTATTTTCAATATTTCATATGGTCCTAAATACAAATCTTTTTCTAATTTCCCTGGTTTGGGTTCTTTAAGTAGTCATACTTTATCTCCGATTTTAAATTCTACTGGCTTAACGAATCTATCGTAATATTCTTTTCATTTCATCTTTGAATCTATTAGATTTTCGCGTGCCATACTAGCTATATCTCTCATGTTTTTTATTAAATTTTTCAAGTAGCTGTTAAGTGTGGGTAGTTGTTCTGATTTCTTTAGGGGTTCGGTAGAGGGTAGCCTAGCTGGATAAGCGAAAACCAGTTCATGTGGCGTGAATTTGTGACTGGAATGAATGCTTGTGTTATAATTGAATTGTGCTAGTTCTAGAAATTCATCCCATTCACATTTTTTTATTAAAAAATTTTTTAAGTATTCACAAAGTGTTCTTTCTAATGATCCGTTTGATTGAGGTGAAAAAGATGTTTCGATTTTTGAGAATTTAAATCTTTTTGCAACTTGTTTCATAATTTTACTAGTGAAATTTGTTCCTCTATCTGTGAGTACTATTTTAGGTGAACTAAAAATGCATACAAATTTTTTCACAAAAGCATCCGCGGTTGATACTGCTGTTTGATCTTTTAGAGGGACTGCTATTAGAAATTTCGATAGTTGATCTTGTATGGTTAAAATGTATTTATTATTATTTTTTGTAACGTTAAGTGGACCGGCGATGTCCATCGCGATTTTATCGAAAGTTTTTATTAGTGTGTTCGTTATAACCATTGTTTGTCTAGTTTTAATTCTTTTTAATTTATTTCTTTGGCATTCCTCACACTTTTTTATTCTATTTTGAATGTCTTGTTTTAAGTTTTCATAAAAGAATTTGTCTTTTATTTTATTATATGTTCTATTTACACCTGAATGACCTCCTAGTTTTGTAGAGTGGAATTGGTCGAATATTTTGTCCCTATTTGCAGGTTTTACGTATTCGATACTGTTTAAGCGTACTATTATTTTAATGTCTGTTTTACTGAAAGTGTTTTTTAATATTTCTTCTATTTCGTACCAGTTTATATTTAGTATTTTAATGTCTCTTGAAATGCTGAAGATTTTTATATTTTTCCGTATGAGTAAGTCTTTTAATGTTATTAAATAGTTTTGTTAAGTTTTATTTTATTATTTCCGATGATGATGCTTTATTTCTATTAATTCAATTTCATTTTCGGACAGGTTGGGGTTTATTTTTATATTTTTAGTTTCCATTAGCTCGTTGGTGTTTTTGTCTAAAGATATGCCTTGTTGAGTAATTATATGTACGATGTTATTGTTTCTAAATTGAATTGAATTTTTCGTGTAAATTATGTTTCTTTGTTCTTGTTTTCCTATATTGTCTTTTTTGTTTTTATCTTTTCCTTCATTGTGCTTAACCGTTCTTCCATTACTGTTGTTATTTGAGGTTGTTTCTTGACCTGGTGGTTCTTGGATCTTTTTCCTTTATCTACCCCTTTTTCCTTTGATTTTGATATGATTGTCGTTTGAAGCTTCTACTTTATCTTTATCAGGAGTCGAATTTTTGCTGATTTTCTTCTTTCCCTGTGCTCTTGTAACAGAAACGTGTAGGTACACTGACAATGAGTTGCATTGAACTTGGCGCAGTGAAGTTGGCCACGCATTCATTCACCGACGCGGCGTGAATGCGTTAGTGAAGTTGGCCACGCATTCATTCGCTGACGCAGCGTGAATGTGTTAGTGAATTTGTAGCCAACTTCACTGCAACAAGTTCAATGCAACTCATTGTCAGGGTACATTGTCCACCGGATTCCTTGATAGTGCATCGGCATTTACGTTTTGCTTACCAGGTTTATAGGCTATATCGTATTCGTACTCTGATAGCTTCAGTCTCCATTTCTGCACTCTAATGTTATTGTCAGCTGTTTTTAGCCAGAGTAATGGTTTATGATCTGTAACTATCGTGAATTTATTTCCGTAAATATAATTTCGAAATGTCTTTATTGCGAACATTATTGCTAGAGCTTCTTTTTCATAGGTGTCATACTTAATTTCGGCTTCTTGTAATACTCGTGATGCGTATGCAATTGGTTTATCATTTCCGATTTCCCCTTGTGACAGTACTGCACGTAGGGCGTATTTAGATGCGTCTAAATGATTTGATTGTCAGGCAAGTTTGGTTCCTTGTCTCGAATTGGGCATTCCGTGTCATTGCTATTCCTGTTTCCTTTAATGTTTCCGAAAAGTTTTTCCTGTTCTAATTCTTTTGGCTTTGGTTTAGTTGCTAGTATGGGTTCTGGAAATGTTTCGTTACAGTTTTGTATTAGGTTTGTATCGACATTATTTGCGTGTGTTTCGAGCGGCTTACCGTCGTTTCTTCCTGTGCGCTCTCTCCAGGAAGAATCTTTTGTTCCAGATCTATGATGTTGATGGTTTTGCCTTCTATAGCATTCTTCGGTTGTATGACTCGTATTTTTGCATAAGTCACAAAATTTCCCAATGCTATTTTCCAAATTTTTGAGTTTCCTACATGAGTCTATTAGATGTCCTGATTCTTTACAGTAGGAACAGATTTCTTTCTTTTGTGCATGTGTTTCGATGTATTTTAGTTTCCTACGTTCTTCTATTGTGTGATTTTGAAGTTTGCAATAGTCGCAGAATTTTCATGGTTCGTTCGTGTGTCTTGGGTTGTCTCTATTAGTGTTATTATTTTCAAAGTGGTTATTGCTGTTGCGGTTATCATTGTGTTTGTATTTTCTATGGAAATTGTTGTTGTTATGTTTAAAGTTATGGCTATCTGTGTACGAGTCATTGAGGGTTCCTTAATTCGTAACAGTTTCGTGCCGAGTGACCTAATTGGTTGCAAATTTGGCATTTAACTTGATTATAATGTTGTGTTCTGTTCTGGTTAACTAAGATTTTTACTTCTTCGCATTCTTCTGCGTTATGGCCTTCTTCGTTACAGATTGCACACATAATTAATTGAAAACCGCTGCTTTTCATTATTGGACAGTGTTTTATTGCGTGGCCCAATTTATTGCATAGTTGGCACATAGGTGTTGGACAATTTTTAGCTGTGTGATACCTACTATTACAGAGTTCGCAAAGTTCTGTAATTTTTGGAAATTTTGTACAGGTATTTGGGTCGTGACCACTTTCTTTGCATTTCCAACATATTTCATAGTTAATTATAAATAGGCATTCGCTAACTGTATGACCGATTACTTGACAATATTGGCAATGATTTCTTTTTGATCTGTTCATTTTACATGCATCGATGGAATGTCCTTGGGTGTTACAATATTTGCAGATAAGTTCTATTTTATTTTTGACAAGTTTGCAGTTAAACGATACGTGGTTTTTATTTTTGCAATATACACATGCCGCGTTGTTGCAAAATAAAGCTTCGTGATTTGGGTCTCGGCATATTTGACACATATATATTGCTGGGTCGCCTCTCAATATGTTTTGTTTCTTTAACCTTGATTCTAAGTTAATGGCTTCCAGTATAAGGGCGTTTAAATCGTCTTTTTGTTTTAATTCTATTCTGATTTCTTGCTTTAGTCCGTTTCTAAAGCTTTTTACTGCATCGTTTTTAATGATCTTGTCAAAATCCTCTATGGTTTGTTGATTTATACCTGTTTCCATTTCTTTTAGTTCTTTAATTTGAATTACTAGTTCTCGTAGTCTGTTCCCATAGCTGAGTATTGTCTCATCTGGTTTTTGCGTCAGTTCTATTAATTTTGCATATAGGCTGTATATATTTTCGGTAGATGGAAATAGTACCCTTATTGCTTGAATAAAATCATTTATGTTATTTATTGGTGAGTTTATTAGTGCTTTGTATACTTCTCCTTTTAGTTTTATTTTTAAAATGGAAATTAAGCCTGGTTCGTCTACTGGTGCTATCATATTTTTGGCAAGTTTTATTTTTTCTATGTATTCTGTAACTGAAATATTTTTTCCATCGAACTCTGGTACTAAATTTGTTAGGTATTTTAAAGATAATCGAACAGGTTGCATTTGATTTTGTTGAACCATCATTTTATTTCCCGGACTTCCCCAATCGAGTGTTAAACTTCCTTCGTTATTTTCTCCGTCCGGATTTCCTATTAGGCTTGGCTGTTCTGTAATCCCTTCGATTTCTAATAGAGATATGTCGTGTTTGAAACTATTGTTTATTGTTTCGTTTGGTGTGTCGATTTTATTTCTGTTATTTTGGGGACTAACGCGGAGTGGTGTTGATGCGAAAATTATTATCCTGTTAGTATTACTGCCAACTGGCACTTCCGTTATCAGTTTGATTAGTGTTCATTGTTAAATCTTTTATGTTCTTTATTCTGGGTATTGCACCTAACTTTGTATTCGCGTTTGATATCTTGGTTGTAACTTCTGGTGTGAAGTCGAATGTTCTCTGTTCTGTTGGTGAACGAAGTGTTTTACGACTCTGTGAGAAGACTGATGAATAATTACGATTTTCTGATTTTCTCGTGCCCTGCTGTTTGTTAATCTATTTTCGTCCGTAGTATTTTTGTTATCCGTTGGTTAAGATTTTTTATTATTCATTTGAAAGTTTCATTATTTGTAATTATGTAGGGAGTAAGTGAGTTCGTTTTATGTTTAAGCGATTTTTATGTATGCTTTGTAGCAGTATTTCAATTAATTGCTTATGTTGTATATAAAATTGGCTCGAAAGTAAATGACTTGGATATTAATGTTGCAGACAAAGATTTATATTCTGGAGCTAGATTTCTATGTATGAATCTACCCTATATTGCAGGTTGTTAGTAAGTCCTATGTTTCTTAGCATTCGATTCGTATCGGAACCACTGTAACGTTGCGAGGTCCCTCTCTCACTGATCCTCGGCGTCGCTTATGTATTTTAGAATTGTTAGTTAAATAGAGGTTCTCACTTACCTTCCACTTGGCGAGTAGAACTTATCTGCGAATAGAACCTGTTGGGGTGAGTCGTCCAGGTATTGGAACGGTAGGGTAGATGGTTCGAGTGAAGATCACGCAATCCTATCACAAGTATGTTTCTTCACTACTGGTACAGTCTTTCGATTCGTTAGCGTTTTTACAATTGAAGTTTACGGAACCTTGCTCTGTCGAAGTACTGTGCTTCGTAGCAGAGTCGTATAGGTTCAGATTTATTTAATTAATCAAGTTACCGGAATCTTGCTCTGTCGAAGCACTGAGCTTTCGTAGCAGAGTCGTGTGGATTCTTGAGGATCAAACTCGGAACGGTACTTCGCGGATTATATTCGCGGATTTTAGTACTTGTACTTGAATTGAATTTCGAATTGCGCGCAGCGTGAATTATTACTTTGAACTGCTAACTACGAACTAACGAACTAACTGCGCTCTCGGATATTATTGTTACTGCACGTTACGAACTAACTGCGAGCGTGTTCGATCGCGTTATTTTATATTGATGAAAAGAATTCGCAACGTTTGATTTGTCAATTCGGGTGAACCACCTTCGTTCGGGTTGTCAGCATTCTCATAGTACGTCGACCCGAATGAACTGCTCACTCAGAATTGCGAAACGATGAATTTGGATGATGAAAAAGGAATTTAAAGAATGCGTCACAGGACGTGACATTGCTAACGATTTTTTATCAAAAAACATAATGCTTGATTTATATTTTTCACCGATTATTCCTCCGAGACGGATGGACTAATCGAAACGAAACCTTTTGCATCTTGTAGAGTGTAGAGTACGTCCCCATAAAAAAGACATTTTGCACTTTTTTATTCCTGACGATTTTTATTACAAAAAACATATTGTTTCATGTACGTTCGGCATATGTTCACCGATTACTCCGAGATGGATGAACCAATCGAAACGAAACCTTTTGAGTATTTCTCCTAATTGGTTCCGCAAAAAGAATATGTTGCATTTTTTCATTCCTAATAACTTTTAACGCTATTTTTCGGTGTTTACGCTGCAAGGAATGTACCGATCGCGATGAAACCTTTCACATTTAGTAGGAGATACTTCTGCGATGATCCCACTTGCAAAAATGTATGGAATTTATTGTTAATAACTATTGTTGTAGCAAGAAACATTCGTTGCTCGATCATGAGACTCAAGAACAAAATGGAATTGCGGTGTAAAACCATGGACTCGTCGGTTTCAATAACGTAATTAACATTGTATATGGCTAACACCATACAAATGCTGAAAATGATCGCAGAAACTGAGAAACGGGATTTTGATATGTATCTCGATGGGATAATTTTAAAACGCAAAAATCCTATGCACATATTTACAAAAATACAATGATGCATTAACGTTCTATAATTTGTTACGTTGAAAAATGTCCATGTTTCGTTTTTATCTTTCATTTTCTTTTCACCGAGTTATGGTACTTGGTTGAACATTTGGAGAATGTTTCTTGAAGTTGTATATAAAGTACCTTCTTCTTGGAGGCTGTATCTTTTACTGGTGAAGAAAGAGTAATAAAGTTAGAATAGTGACATTTAATCATTTTTATGCAAATCTAGCTAAAGCATCAAAAAACGAAAGGAAAATATCATCTACTAATGGAAGAGGGTTTTAGTAGTTCCGTTGAGTCTTCAAAGTGATAGAGCATGCGATACATTGTATCAAAAAATTGTTGGGAATAACAGTTGCATTATCTTGATTAAAATTAATCGATAAAGTTAATACGATGTAAACTATTTTATCGATTCTATCTACCCTTATCTGGTGTTTATATCAACACTAGCTGAGTTACCCGGCTCTGCCCGGGAATTTTAATCAACTATTATTATCCCTACTTCCTTATTCCTATCTCTACTAATATATATAAAATAATTTTTAACAAAAAATACAACCGACTTCGAAATGCACTAAAAAGTATGAAATAATTTCTACTTCATTTATACAAATACCCAACAGCTATTAATAAAACCTATTTACTCGTTAAATCGTATACTAAATACATTTCAACCTTTTCGGAGGCGGCGCAAAATTAAAAACTTTCTTCTACTAGGAAGACCCTAGTTCAAGCGTCAGCAACCTATCAAATCGTTATTGGCATCATCGGGTATTATTAATTTTGCGTCGCCTCCGAAAAGGTTGAAATGTATTTAGTATACGATTTAACGAGTAAATAGGTTTTATTAATAACTGTTGGGTATTTGTATAAATGAAGTAGAAATTATTTCATACTTTTTAGTGCATTTCGAAGTCGGTTGTATTTTTTGTTAAAAATTATTTTATTTCACACTTTTTAGTGGAACGAGCAGTATTTGTAGGATGCCGTAAGGTGGTTTACCGTTCTTATTGGTTAATTATAACGATAGTTTTCAACGATAGTTTTCAACGCTAACAAGTTCCATACATTTTTGCAAGTGGGATCATCGCGGAAATATCTCTTATTAAATGCGAAAGGTTTCATCGCGATCGGTACATGCCTTGCAGAGTATACATATGTATATAGAAACAGTAGAGAATCGGCGACTGCATGCTGACTCATACACCGGTAGAGACACGTAGGCATACGTAGAATTCAATGTAGTAGTAACAATAGTTTTTCACGAATATCTCGGAAACTAAAGCTTCCCGTTAATTAAGCATCAGGAAAAAGTTGTTCAGAATCATGCCCCCGACAACATATTAAAAGATCATTGAAATCGTCCAACCTTGAGATTAAAAACTTCATGTATTTTGCAATAATAATGAAAAAATGAAAAATTTTTTTCTAATGGGACCAATCGGAAGACATACCCTACAAGATGCAAAAGGTTTCGTTTCAATTGGTCCATCTATCTCGGAGTAATCGGTGAACACACAAAAAAAACAAAAAAAAAAAAAAAACAAAAAACATACTGATCGAATTGAGTAACCTCCTCCTTTTCGAAGTCGGTTAAAAAGTGAAAGTGTCTGATCGTTTGTTCCTCTTCACGTTTAAATGGCTAAACGGATTTTAATGAAATTTGCACTATTGGACAGCTTATTCTTTCAAGATGGACATAGGCTATGTCATATTGCGATTTGTTATGTTTTTGACTAACAAAGAAGCATTAAAGAATTGGTTTGGTAATACTCGGCATTGCCACCAAGACCCCCTCAGTATGCTACACTCATAAAATATAGGAGTTTTATAGGAAAAATTATTGTAGAGCAGTTTCGTATACTATGTTTTCCGTTTTACTGTCTTGTGCTAGGACAAATAAATTTTCTGCACTTGATACGCGTGAGCAAGCCACATAAAGTTGTCCGTGTGAAAAACATGGTGACTCCAAATGAACATTAGCCACTTTCAATGTTTGCCTCTGTGCTTTATTTATAGTTAGTGCAAAAGCAAGTTTAATTGGAAACTGGAGTCGTTACAGCACTTTCGTAAATTCGCCAACAGTTCATTTTAAATTGAATGTTAAAATTGGAAAAAAATTCAGCTTAAACACACTTTAATACGAACAGAAATACTATTAAATGCAAGCATTTTTTTTTAATGACAAATATTTCTTTGTCATCTAATACGACACGAATAAGAAAACGAATGCCAAAAAAAAACAGAAAACTGATAAATGTATATTATGAGTTACTGATGGGGTTTAGGTTGCAATGCCGAGTATTACCAAACCAATCCTTTAATGCTTCTTTGTTAGTTAAAAACATAACGAATCGCAATATCACAATATGATATAGCCTATGTCCATCTTGAAAGAAGAAGCTGTCCAATAGTGCAAATTTCATAAAAATCTGTTTAGCCGTTTAAACGTGAAGGAAGGACAAACGATCAGCATTTTCACTTTTATGTATATATTTGTAAGGGGTAAGGATAAGGATAAGGATAAGGATTTACCGGGAAGTATTATTAGAAATACTTGAAGGAATATTTTTTGAAATACATATTCATAATTTGAAATATTATTAGAAGATTTGCAATTTTTATTTTCATTATTATTCATTATTATTATCCATTAGGTAATGTTGGATTGTTACTAATAATAATTCGTCAGGTAGTGAGCAAAAATGAATTGCGTTATGTGTAAGAAACACTGCTTTTAGGGTATCTAAGGGTTTGGGTGATGCAGTCCTGATCTCGTTTCTTTCTTAACACTAGAACTACCGACGCTTGATGTACAGCTATTTTTAAGTTGAAAATAATGTAGAAAATTAAACAGGGGTTATTCCATGCCAAATCGATCACTTTTCGACGTCACTATCGGCGACTCACAAAGTTAATTATCGAGGTTGAACCATTGCCGTTAGCGCAGCGACTCCGATAAATTTAGAACATTTAGATCAAAAACCCGTTTATTGCTTAGTCAGCTATCACTTTGACGCTTTAGTGTGACCAAAATGTTTTTATCTGCACGGTGATTATACATGACGATTTCTTCCCACAAACTGGCATCCCGTAATCTCGTACCTGATCTCATGGTAACGTATAATGTAACTGCTAGATTCCTTAGCATCGCAATTGTACAATTTATATATAAGCGAAGGAAAAAGTGGCTAAGAAGTGATACAGGTGTTTGCGCGTGGACACATCAAACGGTGCATTTCACAAGACTGTCGAGAGAATCGATAAGAAACAGACGCGCCACGCAGAATCACGTAACATCGTAAATATTTCATCGTTCACTCTTGCGTGGCCTCGCATACTAACGAGTTTAATAAGAATTGGAGCAGTATCAAAAGGTACACGGTGACGCCTCCCACGAGCTGCAAAAAAGGTTTATTTTAATTTAATTGACCTGAGAGGAATTTAAATTAAAGCTTTTGCCCTCAGCTTTACCTTTTTCACTATGTACTGTACAGGGCAAATTTAGGGCAATCTTACCTCTACAAGAAGCGACACGTTTATATCGATCATTTTCGCTGAAAACGTAGTGTCACAGTGTAGTAATTGCAGCGAGAAAAGCTCCAGCTGCAATTTAATAATATTTATAGACATCTTTTGAAGATTCGATGAATTTGTAGCTTACCTCGCGTTTCACCGACAAATCGGTCGCCTCGCTAAGGACATCGTGAAGAGTAGTGCGGATTTGTTTAGCTTTATTAGTCGCCGTTTCACACGCCCAAATCGTCGTAACAAATTTAAGAAAATTATATATGACAGGAGGAATATAAGGCCAGTACCAAAATAGTAGATTCTTCTGAGCTTTTTCCCCACCGTTGAACCGTACTAACCAAAAGTACAAATTAAAAGTAGAAGTAATAAAAGTCTTGACAGTTGTTAGTACGAGTTGCGTGACAAATATCTTGTTCAGTAATTGTAGAATATCGGTGACCTGCAGGTGTTTCCCCTCTAAATTCTTCAATTTCATCAGCAACGAGGGAGTACTCTGTTTGTGGCGCAGAAATGTCTTGGCGACGGGTTTTCGAAATTTATCAAGTTCTTCGTTGATTTTCATGAAGCATGCTTTTAAAACGCACGCCGAGTTAATGTGGAACATGTCCATGATGAAGTTCACCAACATAATGAATAGACCGTAAAAATTTCTCACTGTTACGAACGTGTTTCCACTTTCAACGCAATTGAACACGTGACTTGAGAGAAATAAAAATACAAAAATATCCTTTGAATGAACGAATATCGCCATGTCGTTGAAGTCCTTTGGTGCCAGCATGGAGGACGCCTCCTTGAACTCCTGAAGAAAGCGTAGTATCGTTTTATATTGACCGTACGTTAACGAGATAGTGCTTAGTGCCATGATGAGATACACATTGTGATGCAATTTTTTTGGTAGAGTAAGGAGTATCGTCGGAGTGGTATTATTTTTATATCCCGTATAAAAGGCCACGATCAGGAACGTGGTCAAAATGATCATTGAATAAATAACACGAATTCTTGAAATGGTATATCCTGAAGAGTCACATTTGAAAGGAAAAACTCCGAATAGATTTCCGATGAAATAGCAAGGGTACATCAGCGAAACGAAATCCGTGGCGTGAAATAGTTTCCACTTCTTGTTCTCCTTTAATTCTGTTATCTTCCAAGCTTCAGACATCGTTCTTTTGCAATTTCGAAAGTTACAGCGGAAAAAATTTGATGTTGCTCACGAAAATTGTCTGTCTGATGGACTAATAGAAAAAAACTTCGTTATAAAAGTGGACAGACTGCTTATGTTTTCAATAAACTCGAGATACTGATGTTTAATCATCGATGTAGAACGCTTAAACGAGTCTCTTGATATTAGAAAATTGTATGATATTAAAAAACAAATTGCAATACGACAATGCATCACGCGAATAAATAATTTGTTGCATAGTTTGCTTTTAGCATGATTAAAAGTGATGGGGTAAGTTTATAAATTTATTCCAGGCCCTTCTTCAATCGACCATAATTGTTTCTTCAACATTCAATTAAAAATCATTACATTATAGCTTCTTCTCAACAAGGTGTTGCAAGCAGAAATTGTACCAATAGTACTACATAAGTGGTAATAGAGCACACTATCTGCAAAAAAAAAATGAAAAAATTAAATGTTAAATTCGAATTGCAAATTAAATGAATTTACCTTTGTCAAAATGGTTGCGTCCATCGGGAGACCTATCGCCGAGAAGAGGATAATTCCAACTACGGGGGTGTAAATTAATAAATTCATCTATTCATAATTTTTCCACCATTTCACCTTACCTCGATCGTCGTCTGTTTGTTAAAAGTATTCACGATTCGGTGAACATTAAAAGCAATCTTTTGTGCTTGGTTCATATAGTCGTCTCGCTGGTCCAAACAATCAAAATCAAATAGGAAGTATAATACATAATATACAGATATTATGTCAATAATTGTGTAAATATTTATTTAATGAAATAATAATAATACAGTTTTTACTCGCATTAAAACTTGTACCTTAAACTCTAACTCTCTTCCCCGTTCTTCTCCGTTCTTCCCTGATTACACATCCATTCTTGCCAATTTAGTCACTTTTGCTGAGTAACTCTCATCTATGCATTTCACATTCGCAATCAATTAAAAAAACAAATTTCACACTAATATAGTAACATATAGTAACTTTATATAGTAACATATAGTAACTTTATATAGTAACATAAATAAGTTATAAGACTTTTATATCAACATGTAATATACAATAACTTTTTTTTAGCAATATCCTAAACCTTCTGTCTAATTTTAGTTAAAATTTGTCATATTTAATTCTTCTTCAAAATATTTTTGAACAAGAGTTTTTAATTTTCAAATTGTTTCAGTGGATCCATTTAAGTGGAATTCCCTGTATAAATGCATAGTCAGTTGAGCTTACGTTTACGTTTTCATTATTAGTCAGCGAAATAAGAAGATAAGGAGGCAATGACTTCACGCTTATACCAGTAAGTAGACTTATCTTTATCAGTGATGCTTACTTCTTCTTAATTTAAGGCGTAGATATTTATTATCAGTGCGTTATTGAGATTGTATTTGAGGAAACATTATCTTTATAATTGTTCTAAGAAATATTTTTCTTACAACCAGTATTTTGTTAATGGTTTGATTTATAATAGTTTATTTTCATATCACCTTTAGAGGAAGTTTTGATATTAACTTCTGCAATTTAATTCAAAACTTAATGTTTTAGTTTAAGTAATATTTTTTGCTTGAAAGTAACAATGACTGATGTGAAAAATTAATTTAAAAATATTCGTTCTATTTTTCCTCCTTCGAATCGATGTAAGCGCCATTGGAAAGAATCGGACAATCGTGAAAACACATAATTGAGAAATTTGACATTTGATGGTGTGACATCTAACGTCATTATGCAGAGTAAGAAACGAAAGTGAGGTGGCATAGTTGCTAAATCACATCATTTGAGAGTTCTATCGCGGTGTTGCCGCATCTGTGTGTGACGGACATAGAAACGGACAGCGCGAGAAAAAGAGAAAGAGTATCATAAATGAAACAACGTAGGGCCGATCGGCGGAAATATAGTCACACGCTACGACAGATTCGATGAGACTCTGTAATTAACGTACGCGACTATAAAACTTATAGGAATAAAAACTAGATGGCATTAATAATTTCAGGAAAGGAATAAAAAATAAAGATATGTAAATTGATCTATAAAATACAATATTTATTGATTGAAATATAATCAATAATGCCTATATGTATAAACAATGCCTCTACACGGAGAACTATTTTCAAACACTTAATTTATTTCTAAACTAAAAAATTGTACACTATTGCATATTTCAGTTATACAGATTCACGTATTCACGATTTAACTTCACACTTTACTTATTTTCAAAATAATACTCCTTATTGGAGCAAACACTCGGGACGTCGGATGCTGAACGTATGGAATTAGTGTTTCATCACAAACGTCGACTTTGAAATTTTTCAGCATTTGTATTAATCCAATTTTAGTCTGGTAAACTGCGAAACGTGCACCTAAAACAGTAATTAAAAACATTCATTCATGCAAACAAAAATATAATATAAAATATAACCTAACATAATATTAAATAAAATATAAAGTGTAAATGTATATCGCTATATAACTGTATAAAGAACATTAAAAAAAAAAATTATGAGAAAATATTACTTCATCGCCTCAAAATCTCTGATGTATGAAATCACTAAAATGTTGCCTTACATCGGCAAAACTCACAATCAGTGACACTTATCGTCAGCACATAGTGCGCCGGGCACGGGCGCCCGCTGATACCTCTATTTGCACGCGTGCATTGATACGGGCTCGAGGTTACGTCTTCGTTTCGGGCAAGTCGTTGGTGGGGTACTTCCCACTTCCAGTTTTTCGATGTTACGTAACTGAATACCTTTCACTTCTTAAGGGGGTAGACACGGCACGTGACCTCTCCGATTCGGGACGTCGGTATTATAGCAGTTTTTTCGTTGGGCCTGGTGGAGCCACTTGCGTGGTCTGGTATGAACTTGAAAGGTTTAATTCTCAGCTAGCGTGCGCGCAACACGATCTAGGAGGGCAACAGCGCCTCAAGTATTTTTACAAACACATTCAAACGCTCATCTCGCCACAGGCATCGCGACGATACGCCTGAAGAACGAAAGCGAAACATTGGCGCGTGTTTAGAGTGAGATGTAGGGTGATCATGTTATCCTTTTTTCAACCTAAATGATAGAACTGTCCCGCTTCGATAAATTCTGACTGACTGATCGCGTGGATTTTATATAGCGCACCGTAGCACCCCTCGCTGCTGAAAAATATATGCCTACTCTGAAGAACCGAAGGAACGTGCAATCTGAGAAATTTTTTAGAAAAAGTTATTAACTTCTTTAAATAAATGTTTTTTAATTAATAAAAATATACAGGATACGTGATGCAACTTCTGACGGGTTATATCTTGAATTTGGTAAGAGATAGGAAAAAGCTGTTTATGTAAAAGTTCAATGGTATGATAATGTCTATTTTTCTGTGATTTCATTTTCTCCGTGAATGCAACGATGCACTCAAAAAATGCAAATCCACTTGTTATTTAAATGGAATTGTATTTTTTTTTTACTTGTGTCAACTCCTTGAAACATTCTGCATAAAAAAGTACTAAGCTACTATTAGAACTAATAAATGGAGGGACCTCGCGTCTACATATACAGTAAAAGCTGAATATATGCAACAGAGATTGGGAACCAGACGATGCATGTATCCAGCCGAGATGTCGAATCTCGAATTGGATGCGACGACCAGCCAAGCATGAACGTAGAAAGGGACAGACAGTGGAGGAGAGAGAGAGAGAGGTCTAATGATCAAAGGAAAGAGCCGAAACGTATCGGTGTGACTAATACTAATTCAATTATAAAACTCTTTTATTTTTGACTTTTTTTTACTGAAACTTTTACTAGCGCATTGGTGAAATTTTTCTGATTAAAATGATACCAAACACGATATAGTTTGAATGGGGCGAGGTTATGGGGCGCTGTGAAAAATCCAGGCGGGCCGCAGCCAAAACTTAGCGAAAAGGGACAATCTCAACATTCAGAATGAGAGAAGGACAGCATGACTGTAGTGCGTCTCACTCAGCGTTCGGGCGATGTTGCCTTTTTCGCTTGCCTTCGCAGCACAGTTAGAGTGACGTAATCAAGCTAACGCTTGATTCTGACTACGATTCCAAATCGGCAGCCTTTCTACTTAGACGCCACCTTATAACTACTAGCTGAACTAAATTTGTCACGTAACTTGCTCTGTAGTATCCAGATAATGGCGGAACTCGTCTTTGGGAATGCTTTTACGGGAATCGGTTATTCGTTCTTATATGAGAAGATCTTGAGCTGAATAAGGGCTCATTCGAAAGAGGAAGGTTCAATGCAGGGATGTCAACTCACCGTTTGAGTCACAAAACTCTTTTAGTGGCCTAAAAATGCTTTCAATTTGCAACTGCATTTTGTCGATTTTTTCTTCTACTTTTGACACTGATATTATTAAATATGCACATAATCTCGTTAAACCATGAGTTGACCGCCCTGCATTGGACCTTCCTCTTTCGAATGAGCCCTTACCCAGCCCTATGTGTTCTCATATAAGGACAAATCACCGATTCCCGTAAACCCATTAATAGGCCTGTTTCTGCCGGTAATGTCACCTCGCTGCATTACCCGTGTCTACCCCCATAATCTGATTTATCCACTCTCATGTAGCCACATCAAAGCATTGCGTATAGGACAAGGAACGCACAAGATTTTCATGTAAATTTTATGGCGGCACGTGGTATCGTCTGTCCTTCATAACACGTATTTGTAGAACCATCAGCGCAATGATGCCACCCACATTCTGCGGAGAGCTGCGCCCGTGACAAGTCCGACTGTACTCAGATGCCCGTACGGGCAACCTGTCTGAGCGTGCCTGACATACAGGCTGATTCTCTCGTTGCACGAAACGAAAGAAGTGGCGCCGAGGTCTTTTCTTGGAGGCATGTGTGCTGAGTCTAAGTAGCCGGGATGACTACTGTACGTCTACGACAGGCCTGTCCAAGTAGGGGAATCCACTCCTGGAACACATGTTTTGGGTCCCCTTCCAACGCTGCTCCTTCAAGTAAGATGGGACGATTCCGACTACCAAAGACGGTAGAAAAGACGGAGAGATGGTAGTCGGAACCGTCCCACCTTACTTGAAGGAGCAGCGTTGGAAGGGGACCAAAAACATGTGTTCCAGGAGTAATTTCTCCTACTTGGACAGGCCTGGTCTACGAGAAGATGGCATGCGAAATGGCAGAGAGGTAACGGGGGATCCTCGTTTGCTCTACCTGACCCCACTCCTAACGAAAATACTTGTGATGCGAAGTAGGGGTATCGAGTAGTGGGGCATACGTCCCTACAAATTTTAGCCATGCCATTTTCTCGTGGACGAAGAGTATATGGATATATGCGTGTGAAACGAAAATGGGCTTATGGTGCCCTAGCATTTTCTTTGTTTCGTACAGCGAGAGAATTGCTGTCCGCGCACCAAAAGAAGGCCGAGTTCACTCAAGCTAAAAAGTTACAGGGGTGAGGGGAATCGTGCGTTCACACCGCCTAATTCTTTTCTGATAGGTCTACTGCAGGCCTGTCCAAGTAGGGGAATCCACTCTTAGAACACATGTTTTGGGTCCCCTTCCAACGCTGCTCCTTTAAGTAAGATGGGACGGTTCCGACTACCGTCTCTCCGTCTTTCCTAGCGGCGGTACTGTCTCCTCGGAGAGATGGTAGTCGGAACCGTCCCATCTTACTTGAAGGAGCAGCGTTGGAAGGGGACCCAAAACATGTGTTCCAGGAGTAAATTCTCCTACTTGGACAGGTCTGGTCTACTGCATGACGGAATACACGAGCGAAATAAAATACGACAGAATGAGACACAGTGATATTCGATATCCCTATCTTACTTTCTCGCATTTAGTTTCGTCCGTGTATTTCTTTACGCAGCGTACCTATTATGTAGAAAAGAATCGGGCGGTGCGAATGCACGATTCCCCTTGCCCCTGTGACTTTTTAGCTTGAGAGAGCTCGGCTTTCTTTTGGTGCGTGGACAGTATCTTTATCTTTAGCTGTTTGATTATCGTGCTGTCCTTGTTTCTCCAAGGGAAGAGCATGCAGGAGAGACAAGGACAGTTTGAAGTTTCTTCGTTTCCTCGCATGAGGTCTCCAAGATCAATTCGAACATGGACCGTCACTTCTGTTGATCCTTGAGCGTAACTTCTAGCCCCTATTTTATTTTAGAATGTATGTTTAATTGAAATTACCAATGCAATTTCTTGGTCCATCGCCGAAAGGCAGGAAAGCCATAGGGTGTCGCGCAGCTACTGCATCCTCGTTAAATCTTTCAGGATCGTAAACCTCGGGATCTGGATAGATGTTAGGATCTTTGTGAATGGCGTACACTGGAATGAGCACAGCAGTATCCTTAGGAATGGATACTTTCGTACCACTGAAGGTATAGTTGTTGATGCTTTTTCTTCTTAGAAGCAGACCTGGTGGATACTTCCTAAGTGTTTCTGTTAAAAGAAAAGTTACTTGAATGAAATACAGTGGTACCTCGGTATACGACCTTAATCCGTTCCTGAAGTTTGGACTTATACCGAATAGGACGTATACCAAACCAATCTTTCCCTTACTTGTATGATCAGTCAGTTAATAATACATCAACTCCGAATATAATTAATTATTATTAATTTAATTTTTCGTCTGAGATAATTATTTAAAAATGATGTAAAATTCACAAAATACACAAAAAATGTATATCGTATACCGAGCAAAATTTGTCACATCCAAACAGGACGTATTCCGAATTGGGCATATTGCAAAGCAGACGAATACCGAGGTATCACTGTAAATACCACACGAATGTGTACATACACTGACAATGAGTCTCATCGAATCCCTCGCGGCGAGTAACTGTAACACGTATGTATTCACGCCTATCGGCCCTCAAGCGCGAGCATATGTTAGAATCACACGCAGAGATAGATTTGGTGAGACCCAGTGTACAAATTCCAATTAAACTTTAGATTTAGAAGAATTGCGTGGGTAGACAGTTGAGCACCACACCGCACTGCACCGAGCCGAATAGAAGAAGCTCTTTCCGTATTGCTAATTCCAAAGATTTTCCGCTCCTATAGTTCCATAATCAGCAATATACCCAGAGTTTACTGTACATGTAACGTGTTCAAAAGGTAAGATACCTTTAAATACTTTGTCCAAGTAACTCATTCCTTTCACGTCGTCGTACGTCCAGTTTCCTTTATTTTTGGCAAAAAATTCATTTATTTCTTGTCGTAGTTTGTCCTGTATATCATGATTCAAAGCCATTTCATACAGAGCATGTCCAATTGTAGTTGAAGAAGTTTCAAAGCCAGCTGCGAAGAAAACGAAAGCTTGCGCGGCGAGTAGAGTGTCCGTTAACTCTACAAAGATTTATGAGTGTTATTAAACAAATTACTAAACTATCCATTGTAATCTAATACTAATACATTGATTGCCCTGATGATTAAATACGAATTGTTGATAAAGCGAGAAAATTTGCAACAGCGCTATATTTTTGCTGCTAACTATATCCTACTTCAGACGTAGCTAAACCGTAGGTCATGAGCCATTTTTCTCCAGCCTCCACTGAACCGTAGGAGAAGACCCCCGACCATATCTACTACAGAGTGATTCTCTTGCCACACAAACCAAAGGTGATACCGACTGCTAGTTTTCTTTTCACATGTACAGATCCACACAGGCAATTGCTCTGCTTATTGCTAGACCTTAGGAATGGAGGACTGTACTGTGCAGAGATGAGATGTTGCGAAGGCTAAGGAGTGCCTCCTTGGTCTGGCCCGCCTAGTCCCAACGGCGTCACGCACCCACACCATTTGACTTTGAGGCGTGCAAGTGGCGTGCTTAATATGTGTGAGTGTTTCGACCAATAACGCGTGACGGTCTAGAATGCGTGTGCATTAGGCGACCAATCATACCCACATTCCTTAGCCTCCGCAACATCTTATCTCTGCACAGTACCTACCCCTGCTGACCTGACGTTCAGTTGTCGGTGCTGGGCAGATTGCAGGTTACAGGCGCTTTTTACTCGAATTTTTAAACGTTAATTCCTGAAAAACAAAGTCGCAAACGCTATTTCGTCATTTTTGATTTTCGTCTTATTTTGATCCCTAGAATCACCCATTAAAAAATCACCCACCTGTTTTCGAACACCTTGTATATTATAACCTAACCTAACCTAAGTAAACTAGTTATTTCATACAATACCGGATTATACGCTTTAACTGTGTTCCACAAAAAGTTTGTAAAATTGTAAATGTTCCGTGATTTTGAAAGGTTAAGAACTTCGGGCTTAGACACTGGATGGACATGTCTCTACTACGATACACCGCTATGTGGGTGCGTACTATCCACCGATTACAAGAAGACTCGCGGGACGGCACAGGTGCAAGAGGTACTACCTACACATTGACTGACCCCGAAGTTTTACACAAGCCTACTTACTGTCTACCAATCACAAGGAGTCCCATGAGAACAACGCGATCTGATTTGTCGTGGTCCACCTCAGCTCATACATACTTCCAGTCGTGACGTATGATTGGTTGAAATAGGCCCGTGTAAAACTAGGGAACCAGTCGAAGTGTACGTAGTACCCCCTCTTTCCCCTATGGCGTCCTGCGAGACTTATTGTGATCGGAGGACAGTAAGTGTTTACATATGAATAGAACATTATTCTTAAGTGGCAACCGACATCGCTTTTAGTTTCCATAGAGAAAGAATCACGCTGTATCTGCTTATGCTGACTTACTTATGTTGTAGGGGCACCCGTCGACTGATGGTAGGAAAATAGAGTATCTAACAGTGGTGACCGTTGAGACGCTGGCGGGGAAGACTTTGACTATGTCTGCCCTACTTTATGTACCCCATTGTAGTATAATTATTTAAATTTAAATATAAGCACTTACCGATGTTCTCCAATTTATGTGGATTGTCCTTCAAGTCTATTAGTAAATTTATAAAATCCGGCCTGACAATATTATGCTCTTTTCTATACTTAATCGTTTCTGAGACGATCGTCGTTAAAAATTTAGTCATTTCAGTATGCGGTAGTACAAAGCCAAGTGTATTATACAACTCTGGCATAGCTTCTTTAAAACTACCTTTTAACATCGTCGCAAGGTTGCTCTTAAAAATCTGTTTTCCCATTCGTCGAAATTCACTTTCTTCATCTGATAACGCGTTCATACTAATTCCGAAAGCGCAGCTTCCTATCACATCAGTTGTAAATCTTGCTGCTATTTCGCGACAATCCAAAAGTCCATCTTTTTCAACTATCTTTTCTAAACACTCTTTAAGTTGATTGGAGCATTCGAGTATTAGAGGGAACATATCCTTGATTTTTCCAGATGTGAATACTGGTGAGAGCCTTGTTCTCAATGGTCGCCATCTTTCTGTTTCTAAGTTGAAAAGATGTGCAGATAAGGGTTCGGTCTGTAAATATAGTTTATTGTGTTGACAGGCGCACTGTTGTTTTCTTGATATCATTAACGATAAGTGTATAGTTCGTCCAACGAGACGAGTCAGTAAATGTATACGATCCTTGTGTACTAATAAATAAAAAACTACTACTTTTAGAACAATAATAATAGGTGTAAAGTCATCTCCCAAAATCACGACAAATAATTTTTGCTTTGATCAAATTAATTATGCAAATTAATTATGTAAATTACTCCTGGCTTTCCAAGTAAGGGCCCACGGCAAAAGACCGCCGAAAATTAGCCCTGAGCTCGATACTTGGCAGCCAATAGAAAGAGCCGCTAACATCCAGCGTATGAAGCGCATCCAGCTGTTTTGTTTACATTTACTGACTCGTCTCGTTGGACGGACTATAGAATCGCGCAATATCGCGTGTTCTATTAATAATTATTTGAGTAAGGAGACGTTTGGTAAATATACACTGTATTGTAAAGTTTATAGCCGATAGTCTAGTATTAATTGATACACACACTATTAATTTTCTTCTATTTTATACCATTAGAAATACAGTAGGTTTCAGAAATACCTATACTAACTCAATATTTAAATGTTTTGATTTCTTAATGTAAAATTATTTTACGCTTCGGAACCTTGGAAATTTAGAATTTCGGAATTTTAGAACTTTGAAATTTTCGAAATTTCGGAAATTTAGAATTATGAAATTTTACCATTTTGGAATCTCGCCATTTTAGAATTTAGAATTCTTGGAAATTTGAATTTTTACCATTTTAGAATTTCGGAATTTTAGCATCTTAAAATTTTGAAATTTTGGATTTTAAAAATTTTGGAACATAGTTACACCAATATCCAGACGGGATTTATTTTTACTGACTTCACTAAAATCATTCAATTTTTATAAGGGTGGTATACTTGCAAAACGTATTGTATATTTTTTCCTAGTAGCATAGAACACTCTGTATAGGTACCCTTTCGAATATGAGAGTTGCTCGATTGCTGAACGTCGAAAAGTCCTTAATTAAGACATCCTTAATACGATCCAGATCAATCAATACAAGATGGGGTGATCTTCTAACAAATATTCCAACCATAGGTTCATTTTTGTACTCGTTATAAAGTTTCATTGTATAAGTTCCTAATGCGCATTTTCCCATGATGATGTCTTTGATATTGCCAAATACAGGAACTGGCTGCGGTCCATTCACGCCACGATCCTTCCAGAAGTCAAAGGTCAACGTAAAATAGTAATATAAAGCCAGAAACACTACGGCAAACGCACTTAACAGTTGAAAATAATCAGCCATGTTGAATCGGAGTTAGCGCAGCAGTCGACAAGTTTCAACTCAAAGGCGACGGCATACTAAAATCTACTAGTTACTAGAATCTACGCTGTTTTCTAATCGCACATGACGAGCGTCTTATGAAATGTTCATTTCATTGCGTGTACATACACGCACGTCAGTTTTATTTGCACACTGATTTTGAGTCATCTCTTCTCGTAATTTTTTTTCCAAATAAATGAGTTGGCTTCATCAGTTTCTGAAGGTGACTTAGTATTTCTTATTAAGTCGTTTTCAGTATAGAGCATAGGTATTTGCACAAAATATTATTATATTCTTAACGGACCTACAGTTAAATGATCATACTTACTTTTTTGGTTTTTTGGAGATATGAGATATTTATTTTTTGTTAGAAAGGTTACAGATTGAATAAATGGGTAAACAACCAATTAGAATGTTTTTAACACGTTGATTGCCGTGGGGGTCACCGATGACCGGCATCGCAAATTACACGCACTCCAATAATTAAACGAAAACGATAGAAAAATATTATTTTCAATAGTATTGTTATTATACTAATAATGTAAAGTATCAAATTAAAAGCTTGACATTTGAAATTTGAAAATTAATTATTCCTATTCTTAATAATTAGAGCTTTAATACGTCTCGTAACAAATGCCCATTTTCACTGTGGCTGTCAACGTGTTAATATAAAATATAAACGATACGCGAATGTACAAGATGTGATAATGATGAATGTAATAAATGTAATATCAATTTGATGTTGTATGATTGTCAAATATCTGAATTGCGAATCGTATTTCCATGGATTTCCTATATTTGTTTTATGCTCCACTCTGTGCTTTTTGTAAAGGTAGTAGTAATATTAATTATTATTTTACTTGCTTAGGTTATTGTTATTATTAATTATTATTATTCGTTTATTTGCTTGGGAATTTTTAATATGATTACACTGTTGTCGAATTAGCCGAAATTTAATAGCAACGTCGTGGTTGCGGTCTTATATTAATTACTTTATAATTCTAAAGAACAAATATGCGATTGGAAATTATTACTAAAAATTGTGAATAAATGACCAACGTAAATTCAGAATTTGGAATAAAAAAAGGATAGAAGTTATCTGGGACACAAGTTGTGTTCAATGATCTTTATTTTCATGTCTGAATAATTTGATGACTTTTTAAAGATTGCCATTCTTTTGGTAGTAGTAAATCTACTCAAATGAGTTCATATACTTTATGAAAGGATTAATCTCTTGATTAACCATTCTGATTTACATTTTGAGATAAATAGATAAATAACAAAACATTTTGAAATTGTCAATTTATCTGCAAAGAAATTATAGAATAATATTTTTAAATAATCGTTTCAGTTTCTTATATGTTTTTAAATTTTGAAGAACCTCAAGAACATTTGATAAAATATTAATGTAATCTACAGAAAAAATAAAATCATTCCATCAGTTTTTGTTGTATGTATGAATAATTTATTTGTTGTCATTGTCATGTCTTGCTATTTTAAAGTTTTCAAACTCTAAAACCTTAAAATTCCAGAAGTTCAGGATTTCAAAATTCCAGGAACCCAGAATTTAAAAATTTCAAAATTCTAGAAGTCCAGAATTCAAAAATTTGCAGAACCCCAGAAGTTGAGGTTTTCAGAACTCCAGAAGTCAACATTTTCAGAATTTCATAATTCCAAAATTCCAACTGCCTAAAATTCGAAAATTCTCTTCTAAAATCTGGCGAAGCGCTAGATACTAAATGTCTGACATTGTTAATAAGGTTAAGGGATTTGACCCATCACAAAGATTCTAGTTACGCTAATAGATTTTTGTGTTTTAAGCCGCCTCCGTCAAATCATTTAACTTTTCTCCGAAAAGATTTTGAACATGACTTATAATATCGGAAATGGTTGTAAGTATAGATTTAAATGGAATACTTTCTATACATAGTTAAATGGAATACTTTCTATACATAGTTAAAAACGAAGATCTTTTGATAAAAATGTTATATTTCAATGAAATATTAGTCATAGCAAAAACAGGATAATGAGATTATGACTTCGCACTTAACACAATGAAATAATGATACAATTATGAGTTTTTAATACGTGAGATAAAATTTGTCTTGATGAATGATGTTTACTTTTAAACTTAAGTACCTCAAATACGGTTGTATTTCAAGGAATTAGGAATCTTATCTTAATTAGTGTAGATCTATCATTTTTATCGACGTGAAGTATTTCCGGGTCAATAACTGATTCATAACCAAAGGAAAAAAATATACAGAAAATCAAAATATTGTAAGTAGAACAATATTTTAAACATAATACAAGATTTCTTAGCACCATTTATAATTACAAAAATACCATCTTTCATTAAATGGCTTTCCATCTGTACCCACTTGTGGATTTGGTAATACAAGAGATTCACAGAAAGAATTGAAATTTTCATAATAATTGATTACTTATTTTTTATTAATACCATATTAATATTAAAACTGATTTAGGAAAAAAATAATATAATTCTTAATTACTAAATATTATAACATTTAGTTGATAACTGAGCAGTATGAATAACAAAGTAAATATTCATTCAAATTTTTCCGCATAAACGTTTATACACAAGTGGTAGGCCATCACAGACCTATATGTATACAGGGTGATTTTCTCGCAGCCGGACAAAAAGGAACTGGTGACAATGAACCCCTTAACCGCACCATGAAGTGGTCCGTATTGTCACGTACCAGCGGGGACCTACCTGGGCCGAGACAATTCTGTGTGTGTAGTACGTGTGGACGATGCGGACCTCTTCATGGTGCAGTCATGGTGCTGTCACCAGTTCCTTTGTGTCCGGCTACGAAAAAATCATCCGGTATATTTCTTCGGTTTTTAACCATTTTCCGCTCTAATAAAGTCCCTATTTTCAACTAACGGCCATACGACTTAGGACTACTACCGGTTCTCGTCCGATCACCGAAGTCAAGCTAAGTTCGGCGCGGATAGTACTTGGATGGGTGACCGCTTGGGAACTCCGCGTGCTGTTAGTTCTTTTTTTTCTTGAATTAAAACAAATTTGACATTCGTATTCGATAAAATTCTCTTCTATTTAATTTTAAATATTTTAACTATACAAACCTTCGAATATAGTTTGATTATAGTGGATGTGATAGTGCATGCAGTGCAGTGACTACAGATCCAACAAGACTAGATATCCCTTTGTTTTCAAGGGGTTTTAAATTTGTGCCTTGACAACGAACGCCATCTGCTCTATCCTAGTATAAATATGGGGGTTGCCAAAATGTTCATTGGGCAAAGGAGAGGCTAAAGCCCCTACAAAGCGCCATTCTGGGGAAAGGGATCTATCAGAAAGGACTGACCTCATTCCTATCCCGGATAAACCACTAAGGTAAAGGTAAAGGTATAAAAATGTAAAACACATCGCACTGCAACAATCTAATGCACGTTGATGGTAATAGCAGATACCAAGTTGCTTCGATACCAAAGACTATACCCTATTACTCATTGTGGAGTCAGTGTCTGTAGCACAGCCTTGCCGTATTACAGCAACAAAAGGAGCAGCAAGGGGAGGATGATCCAGCCCTTTTCTCTAGAGTAGATATGGTTTTGAGGATAGTACAATTGGTACAATTAGTTCGGACCGTACGACCGAACCGCTGTTAGTAGCAAGTCCGTAGTCGTAACTCCGGTATTTATCATTATTAAATTGTTTAGAAAATAATTGGTCGCTAGTTATAGCGATAGTCTCATACGATTTGATGACATAAAACTAAATTAAAATTTGGTAAAAATGAATATTTAAAACTTAAGTACACTGTGCAATAAACCTGAGTTCGTACACTTATAAACTAGTCTACCTTCGCGGTACCCCGGTTGTCGGACTGAGTCGGCACACTCGTGCGGAATCAATCCGTAACATTACGACAAAATTTGTTTTCACCTTTGTTTTTATCTTTCATTTGACTCAATAAGTCCCGAACTTATAGAAATGTTTAATAATTAGTTTAATCCAAAAAATTCCCAAAATAAATAAAAAATTATATTGAAATTTTTTGGCAGCTTTCATATCACGCACTAAATCTCCGGTATATGGGTCCTTTACCCTAGTATACAAGATATTGTAGGATTTTTATGGATTTCGTTATTAAACATTTATTATTGTACTTTTAAAATTAATATATCATAGAATTATAATAGTAATATAGGATTTTCTCGCTTTTACAAAAAAGGACTGCTTTCTTCACACACTCCACGCACTTCCATCTGTTTTTTACACACCGCGTTGCCAACCTTCCCGTCTTAACATCCCACAATATCTTAATACAAAGCAACAAATATACATTCATTCTGTATTGTTTCTTACATACATAATGTGTAATGACTTAAAAAAAATATTTTCAATTTAATGTATGTCAAATAAGTTGCATTTCCTTTGTAGTTTTGTGAATTTCAAATATATCCCTTCTTTTGGGGCTAAAAAAAGCGAAGCTGGATTAATTTCGTAAGGAATCATTGTCTTTTCGCAAACGTCCACTTTGTAATTCCGTAGAATTGTGATAAGGCCAATTTTGGTTTGATAAATTGCGAAACGTACACCTGTAAATAACATATTATAGTGATAATTGGTGTTTCAATGTATTGTGCAAATTATAACATAACTACTACCTTCAAAATTTTGTAATATCCATAGACATGTGCATGTATATACACTGAGTCCCATCGAAGTTGTCGCAGTGAAGTTGGCTACAAATTCACTAACACATTCACGCCGCGTCGGTGAGTCTATCTCGCCCATCGTCTCACCGATGCGGCGTGAATGTGTTAGTGAATTTGTAACCAACTGCACTGCGACAAGTTCAATGCAACTCAGGGTACACCGAGTTCCATCGAAGTTGTCGCAGTGAAGTTGGCTACACATTCACTAACACATTCACACCGCATCGTCAGCACCTCGCTGCGCCGATCGGCTCACCGACGCGGCGTGAATGTGTTAGTGCGCTAACTTCACTAACACATTCACGCCGCGTCGGTGAGTGAATGCGTGGCCAACTTCACTGCGACAAGTTCAATGCAACTCACAATCAGTGTATCTGACTAAGTTGCATTGAACTTGTCGCAGTAAAATTGGCTACAAATTCACTAACCATTCACGCCGCGTTGGTGAGTCTATCTCGCCCATCGTCTCACCGACGCGGCGTGAATGTGTTAGTGAAGTTGGTCACGCATTCACTCACCGACGCGGCGTGAATGCGTTAGTGAATTTGTAGCCAACTTCACTGCGACAAGTTCAATGCAACTCAATGTACAAGTTGATTCTCTCGCTGTGTAATACAAAGGAAGAGCCACCCAGAACCTTAGGCCCCTTTTCCTTTTAATACCCACGCAGCCTTGGACCGTGTGCTCATCTCAGTAGCCGAAATGACCACGTGGATGTATTTTCGAAAAGAAAATGAGCTTAAGGTGTTAGGCTGCACTTCCTTTGTGTCGCATAGTGAAAGAATAACCCTGTAGATTTCAGAATAAATAACCTATAAGACGGAGTAACGGTAGCACAAGAGTTAGAAGGCAATATAAAATGCTCGGATATACTGCGATTACCGATTGATGGTAGGGGGCGTGATAGCGTAAGGTTCAGTTTACACGGAAATCCTGTGCGTTCCTTGTCCTATATGCGATGCTTTGATGTTGGTACATGAGAGTTGTAAATGAGATTAAGAAGTAAAAGGTATTCAGCTGCGTGACTTCGAGAATCTTTCGAAGTGGAAAGTACCACACAACTTCCGACGATTCACCCGAACCGAAAACGTACCGTCCACCGATCACAAGTCCCACGAGAATAACGCAATCTGATTGGTCGCGCCTCACCTCAGCTCACACGCACTTTCAGTCGTGAAATATGATTGGTCGAAGTGCAAATCACTGATGTAAAGCCAGGGGGTCAGTCGATGTGTGCGTAGTATCCCCTCTTGTCCCTGTGCTGTCCCGCGAGACTTCTTGTCAGTAGTGGACAGTACTTTGCGTTCGTAGCAGTGCACGCGTGCAAATAGGGGCGTTGGCGGGCACTCGTGCCCGATTTACTACTTGTTGAGCATCCCTGCATACTGCTTTCTCACTCTTGGCTATTATCTGTTCCTCTTATCGGAATACGCAGTCTATAATATTACTGTGGTTATATTACTTTTACTTAGATAACGTACTTTGTTCAGAAACCTATTACCCCTCTCATGCAGCACAATATAACTTAATTAATTATCGACACTTTTAGAGAAGAGTTAATAGAACCGGATAAATAAGTAAAAGTAATGTACTGAGTTTATTAAAAATAGAATTGTTCCTTGAAAACATATCTTCACGACAATTAAAGTCTTAAACCAAGTTATGCAAATATATTTATTTATAATGTTAGCTTGACAATTTTATTCAAATTAATTTAACTGATAACTCTTTTATCCAATCATAAAAATATGAAACTGAACTCTAGTTTTAAACCTTGAAATCTTGCTGTTCATTTATTTTCTATGTATTTTTTATAAAAATGACAATATACTTATATTGAAAATTAGATCTTTATCAAAAGAGGTAACAATGTAATTAATTATTGAAAAATGCTTAATATGTTGTAAATTATCACTGTTTATATCTTCTGATAGTATACTATACAGGGTCCATCGTAAATCCAGGAAGGGTCAAGTATCTCAAAAAAAAATCTTTTTTTTTTAAATCGTTCAGACTAAAGTGTTAAGGTTTTAAAAGTCTTATTGAATGGTTCTATCAGTTTGACCTTGAGAGGAGGAATCAAGGTCACGTCAAGGTTAGCATGATTTTTTTAAATGAAATACCCCATTTTTGGTCATATAGTGTTAAAGACGACTGCGAGACCTTTTCAAACCCCTATTGCGACCGTGTTTTTCATGAGAATTACCTAAGTTATTAAAAGTCGCGATAAGGGTTTGAAAAGGCCTCGCAGTCGCCTTTAAAACTGTATGACCAAAAAAGGGGTGTTTCATTGAAAAAAAGTCATGCTGACATTGACGTGACTATGACCCTTCTTCTCAAGGTCAAACAGATAAAATCATCCAATAGAATTAAAAAAATTTTAAAACATTTGTCCGATCCATTAAAAAAGAAAAAAATGATTCGTTTCTGAGATATTTGACCGCTCCGGGACTTATGACGGACTCTATATAATTAATTATTTGAATAGACAAAAAATTTCATTTCCTTTTTTATTTAAAGTGGATAACTGTCAAAAAAAGATTCTACGATTTTCTAAAAGGTAATAACAATTTTTTTCAACTTACCCATGCAATTTCTTGGTCCATCACCGAATGGTAAATAGTGCATAGGATGTCGAGCTGCAACAGCGTCTTCATTGAACCTTTCCGGATCGAAAGAATTAGGATTTGGATAAATATCAGAATTCCGTTGCAAGGCAAACACTGGGATAAAGATTGTTGTACCCTTTGGTATTGAAATTTTAGTGCCATCAAAAGTATAATTTGACATTGCATTTCGAATTAGTAATGATCCAGATGGGTACTTTCTTAATGATTCTGCACGGATAAATTATATAACTTTTAATATTTAATGAGGTTTATTTAAGCATTAATATCAGGGATGCTCAGTAAATAGTAATCCGCGCATGGGCACCCGCATACCTCTATATTTGCACGCATGCACTGTTACGGGCTCGAGGTATTTACTTCCGCTCGCGACGAGATGACACACGCGATCTTTCTCGCGCCTAGTATCTTGGGCAAGGTGATGCCTTCAAATGCTCTGCTCGATTGATTTCTAGCACTGTCCTACGATCACAAAATGTCCCGCGGGACGGCACCGCGATAAGAGGGGTAGTACGCAAACGCCGGATGCCCCCCTAGATTTACACGAGCATAATTAGTAGGTATGACGGCTTCGACAAATTGCAAAATTCTGTGAGTCATATTTCCGCAGTTGGATTAGGAGAGGGTGGGTTCTACGCAATTTAACCAATTAAACCCGCATATCATCCAAGTGTCATCTCATCACGAGCGCACAGTACGTTTTCGACTTAGGAAACAATTGTTTGGGAATGGAGAGACTGCTTCAGCGTTACATAAATACATACGTACATACAGTGCCAATTACCACTACCGAGTACAGGCATTCAAGTGCCCGTATATTTAACTAGTTTGAGCGTCCCTGATTTATACCATAACTGAATATACATAGTTCAACAACTGTTATTTTTTATATTTTGTAAAACTTTCATACCTACCTTTGAATACTTTATCTAAATATTCCATTTCCATTACAGTCTCGAATTCCAACTCTCCTTTGTCTTTAGAGCAGTACTCCATTATTTCTTCTCGTAGTTTATTTTGTATCTCTTGATTTACGGCTAATTCATAAAGAGTACTGCTAATCGTTGTCGATGAGGTTTCGAAACCCCCGGCGAACAACCCGAAAACTTGTGCAATGAGTAAAGAGTCCGTCAATTCTACAAAACGTTATTAATAATAAATTGTTGCGTGATCGTAGCGGGGAAGAAAGTGCCCAGGCCTGGCTCAGCGGGGATATGGTTCGCAAGTCGCCAGTTAGCCGTACCAGATTGATATTAATTAATCAACGAAATTGAATTTCATATAATTAATAATAAAAATCTATATATTATTTCATACCTACCGATATTGTTCAGTTTCTCTGGATGCGCCTTAAGATCCATAAGCATGTTTATGAAATCTGGTCTAACGATATCATTCTCTTGTCTGTATTTTATGATGTCCGTAACAACTTTGGTGAAGAATGAGGATAATCTTGTTTCGCATATTATATAAGCAAGCAAATCGTACAGTTTAGGGAAGAATTGTCTCATTTTGATTCGAAAGACGTTTTGGAAAGACGATGTATCGAAGAAGTCTTTACCCATTTGACGGAATTCGCTTCTCTCGTCTGCTAGTGCATTCATTTCAATTCCAAAAGCACAACTACCAATCACATCAGTCGTGAATCTTGCTGCTAATTCTCGACATTCCAGAGGCACTCCTTTTTCAACTTCTTTAGCCAAATATTTTTCCAAATGTTGCGAACATTCGATTATGAGATAGAACATTTTCTTCAATTTTCCAGATGTAAATATGGGGGAGAGCCTCATTCTCAATGGTCGCCATCTTTCTGCTTCTAAGTTGAAGAGATGTGGTGAGAGTGGCTCTGTCTGTAAATATTCATTGAAAAAAATGGCATTATGTTAAATTCATACTGGTACACTTAACCCTTCTTCAGCTCTAAATTACAAAGTATTTGAAACAAAAAATAAAATTAATTTTAGAAATTATATTCTTGAATATATTAGGTTGGGTAATTTGAAATAATGATGTGTTTTTATGTGTGTTGATACGCTATTTAAAATATTCATTTGCAGCTGCAAATTTGTTTTGTATTTTTTTGTATGAAAGGGATAAATGTAAATTTAGAAATACAATAAGCTCTTGCTATATTGCCGCCAATGGGCCTGTAGGAGCGGCAAATTCATCCACTCTCGAGCTCTCATTTCAAGGGGGGAGGGCAGATAAAAATGTATCGTTTTCATAGACTATGATGGTGGAAGGATAGCACTAGTATGCATTAAAATCCATATCAAATTGTTCACGTGGCAATATAACGAGAGTATATATAAAAAATTATTAATATCAATGTCAATTACTTAATATATTTCTGATTAACATTTTCAATAATAATTTAATTTAGTTATCATTGCTACCTCAATACCAACCTTCTAACTTATGTTAGAGTTATCACTATCAATTAAAAGAAATTTTAAAACACTATTATACTTTAACGAAATTACTTTAATAATTATTTTTAATATTATTTGTTTAAAATATACCTGTCCCTGTCTTACAACATTTCAGAGTAATTCTATGGGCAAAAATAGGTGGTTTTGTATAAATATAAAAATTACAAGATCAAGACTTTTACACCAGATAATTTGTAATTAATAGATAATTGTCCGTTAAAATTACGTAAAGGTATTGAACTTAGTTTATGCAAGTATACAGAAATATAGTAGAAAAGTAATAATAAAATCAATTATGCAGGTAGCTCTAATAATTTGATCATTCGCGGTACTTTAGTATTATAATAATCGATTAATCATTAGAAATTACAATTTATACATACCTTCTCATGAACACGAGCTCCTCGATCTGCAAAGTTTGAGAAATCTCTAATGAGAACGTGTTTGATAAGCTCTGGATCATTCAATATAAGACTTGGTTTCTTCATTAAATAAAACCCGATCATTGGTTCATTTTTATATTGATCGTACGTGGTATGTACATAATGACTTATGGATATGTTAGCAAACATTAAATCCTTAGTGTTTCCAAAGAATGGTATCGGCGTTGGACCAACTACGCCACGTTTTTTCCAAAAATCAAAGTTTGATACAGCATAATAGTAGAATGCAATAAGTATCACTGCGATAGAGAGTAGAATTTCAAAGTAGCTCGCCATTCTGATTTTATCCACTTGATTTTGCAGTTTCTAAAAATTCATGATAAGAGTTGAATTATCATTATGCTTACTTATCATAATGATGATTTAATGAGTTTTTTTACAAGAACGATTTAATAATTTTTCATAACTGTGATTTGGTGATTTATTGATTCTAGTTAATGATAACTTAATGATGTTTCATGTCAATGATTTGACGATATTTCACGATACTAATTTAATGAATTTTTATTATTCTATGATGATGATCTAAATATTTCAAAACGTAATAATTCAAATAATAGTGGTTTAATAAATAATTTTTAATAATAAGATTTCTAATAAGTAATTTGATTATTTACTGTAAATCCTTAAATAAATTTGAAAAATGTGAAATAAAGCATAAAGTAAATTTCTAAAAAATTGTATTTACCCAATATATTACTCAATTGTATATTACACTGATTTTCTATTACATATTCCATATATTTTCATCACTTATTAAATTAAATTAAAAAAATAGAAGCTATTTTATAAATCCACGGATTTTTTTAGAAATTGTCGATAGATATTTAATATGTTTAATTACACTTATTAGTAATTCTATGCTCTCTAAAGAGAGTAATCTACTGATTGAAGAAGGCGCGCTGTAGAACACTGTTTCAACAAAACTAAGGGTATTCTATCAGCTCCTCGGTCTTATATACTTTGTAAACGGTACTCATTGTTGATGTCGCAATTGAGTCTTCCCTTTCTACAACTGAACTGTAGATGCTCACCCCTTTTGATTTTATCTGAATTTGTTGCAAAATAAGTATCACACTCCGTTTTACATATTTACCTCCGATACGTGTATGTACTCGCGTACTCATTTCTTGTGCAGCCCTTGCTTTATTTATCATTTCATCTCATTATTTGTAGAATCTACTTATACTGTTTGGTTGTTAGTTCGAAATGTGGCAGTCTGATCTCATTTTGTTATCTGATAATACAATTATATAGATCTTACTTCAGCACACTGTTAATTTTACATTGATAAATAAAAATGCATTTACATACTGGTGCAGAGTGTTAAATGACTGTTGGATAATTGCGAATCGTTTCGGTGTTTTCTAAAACATATTTGTGGAATCATTCGTGACTAACAACTAGATAAATAGTGTTACGTTTCGAACAGAAATTTTTACAGATTTCCTTTTCCTCCTAAATCGTCACTAGCATTCTTGGATTGCCAGTTGTCAATGTTGTTAATTTTCATTTGTCAATGTGAACGCCATGCCCCCCCCTCTGTCCTCTTCTTGACGGCTCTACCCACATCATCTTGATCCGTTATACTTTGGACTTTCGTTAGAGGTATAAACGGAAATCATGAACATCGATAGATTGTTTTACATTCTGGACCTCCCCTGATTAAACGCAAAAACGATCTTTGATATTTCAAGATAGTCTATCTTTACCAGACATAATTCCGATTGTTAGTATAACAAATTCCTTCCTCGAAATCAGCGTGGTCCCACGGCCCAAAATCACGTATCGTCTTTGGTCTGAGTATCACCGGATGTAAACCCGAAACATGATTCGTGTGGTCCAATAATCCTGATCACTTTGGAACGTTCCTTATCGGCTCCACGAAGATGATCGAAATTCCTTATACATACATTATAATAATTCAAATTTTCTATTAATTCATTAAATACTGTAATATTGTAGGTCACTGTGTTGACTCTGAACATTCGACGAGGGAACACCTCGCTTATTATTTATAATTAGGTGCAATAAATGAGGGGAGTTCACTGGCCCGATCATGAAAACAGTTGTTGTACCGAACGTGTTTCCTCGTTTCCCAGTGACAATTATCTGCTTTCAGTTGTTTCCTATGGTTTTTACGTGCGACGCGCGCGCGTGTGCTTGTGACGCTACTGTGTGAAGTGTCAGCTGAATGTATGAATGCAAGAATATAAAATGTGGTAGTGCGTTAGTCGAGCAATGCAACTATCGATAACGTAACGCGCGAGTGACGCCGTAAAGCCGGGAACTTTATTAAATATTTGTGGGTTCGGAGATACGCTAATCTCATTCGGGCCCTTTCATCAGATCGCTAATATAATAGGATTTATGAAGAAGGCAAATAAAGGTTATGTCAAAGAAAATTAAATTTGATTAAAATGAATCAGATGGTATATTATAAAGTAAAAATGTTAAAATATAATGGAATACATATAATATCGAAAGGTATTAAATATATAAAATATTGAAATAATATGGAAAATATATAAAATATTGAAATATAATAATAATAGGTATAAAATATTAAAATATAATTAAATATAATAATGCGATTAAATATAAGAAAACGCAGATTTAGCTCGCGTACAATTTAATTTTGAGACACACAATTATTGGCCGGAAATAGACAAATACATGTGATCAAATACAATTTGGAATTAGGAATCTCCAGTTGAAGAAGACTCTTACAAACAAAATTGACTACGTCAATTTTGACTACTGGAAATTCCTTGGCAATATATTCATGAAACGACCGGAAGAGTAATGGAAACGACTCACCGGATTATGTGGAAAAATTCCGTATAATGATCCAAATTCTGTTGCTGCTATTTTCCAGTTGACTGTTTTCTGGAGGAAGGAGAGTGGAACACACACCCTAAACTGTTGCATCGATACACAATTATAACGCGCGAACTATTACGCAGTCTATTAAACTAAAACTACGAAAATGTATGTATTTATAAAGAAATAAAATTAAACTGAAGAATAAAAATATTAATCAAAACAAAAGAAAGTAAAATGGATACACGAAGATAGAGTCTTTTACCCTATTTGCTACTTTCGAACAACTTGGAACAAAACTCGTCTCTGAACCACTTCGCGGACCCGCCGACACGCTGCTCGCGATTGTACTTCGAAGAGTGTCGTAATCTGCACCTCTCGGAGAAGACCAGAGCGGGCCTCGTCCGAAATTGTTTACATTGCGTTGTTGTGCGCCTAACGAATTAGGCGGCGGTGTCGATGCAGAAGGAGGCGGGATTCGCTTATCGGTGGTGCAGCAGGGATATGTGCGTTCCTCTCTCTGTTTTAATCTTTCTCTTTCTAATTCACGTATATTCCTTTGCTCTTCCTGTCATACTAAAGACTTCGTTATTCATTAAAATATAATAAATTTTACAAAATTGCTTTGATCTTAACGTTATAGGAAGGAAACATGTTTTTCAAAACCATTACAGATTACTGAATTTGAACGAATATTAAATGAAAATTTAAATTCGCAACTTGGGCTAACCGGCGCAATTACAATATTATAGTGTTTAGTGAATTTAGTAGAAAATTCGGATTATTATAATGTATGTATAGGGAATTTTGATCATCCTCGCGGAACCGATAAGGAACGTTCTAGGGTGGTCAGGATTATCGGACCACACGAATGATGTTTTGGGTTTACATCCGGCGATATTCAGTACCAAGAACGACACGTGACTTTGAGCCGTGGGACCACGCTGATTTCGAGGAAGGAATTTGTTACGCTAACAATCGGAATTGTGTCTGGAAGAGATAGACTATCTCGAAATTTCAAGGATCGTTTTTGCGTTCAATCCGGGGAGGTCCGGAATGCAAGACAAGCTATCGATGTTCGTGGTTTCCGTCCGCACCTCCAACCAAGGTCGGGGGTACGACGGATCAAGATGATGGGAGCTGGCCCATCAAAAAGATGATAGAAAGGGGGGGGGGGGGGGGGGGGGGGGGGGCAACATGGCTTTCGCCTAGACAATTGCTGGTGAGCGCAGTCTCAAAATGGGGGAGACCATTTCCGAGGAAGCGGAAAGACACCTGTATCCCGCATATACTGGGGATAATTCGATGATGGTAACGTTAACCAATCCGCCTGTTAACACGGAGGACAATTCGATGATGGGGGGGGGGGGGGGGAACACAAGGTGAATGTGTAAAAATTTCTGTTCGGAACGTAACACAGTGTAGCAGGTTAATTTAGAAACGAATGGGTAAGTTTCATTTAAATTGTTTTCAAATTTTTCATCATTAATGTAGCTTCCAATTCAAACGTTTATTAATTATTCCACATCAAACATTTTTATTTGTTGTTTAGAATTCTTAGAATTTCCTTTTTTACATTATGACAGGCGACAAGAGATTAGGTTCCGTATTGGCGGCTTCTTTCTTTTTCATTCGCTGTTCTTTATTCGGACACGTGCCCTAGATATGCGAGGGACGAGCGGGTTATACCTAGTGAATATACAATTGTTTTTTACATCCATATCTGTAATGACTTACAAGAAATATTTTCAATTTATTATATGTCGAATAAGTTACATTAACTTTGTATTTTTGTAAATTTCAAGTATATCCCTTCTTTTGGTGCTAATAAAAACGCAGCTGGATCAAATTCGTAAGGAATCCTTGTCTTTTCGCAAACGTCCACTTTGAAATTCCGTAGAATTGCGATAAGGGCAACTTTAGTTTGATAAATTGCAAAACGTGCACCTGTAAATAACATGTTATAGTGATAATTGATATTTCAATGTATTGTTCAAATTACAACATAATTACTACCTTTAAAATTTTGTGATATACATAGACATGTGCATATACAAGGTGATTCTCTCGCTGTGCGACAAAAAGGAAGTGCCTTCGAGAATCTTAGGCCCGTTTTCCTTTCACGTGTACATATCCGTGCAGCCGTAGACCGTATGTTGCCCTCAATAGCCGAAATGACTATGTGGGTGTATACATTTGAAAAGAAAATAAGCCTAAGGCGTTAGGCTGCACTTCTTATGTGTCGCATAGTGACAGAATAACCCTGTAGACTTCGGAATAAATGACCCATAAGACGGAGTAACGGTAGCACAAGAGTGAGAAGGCAATATAAAGTGCCCAGGTAGGTTGCCCGTACGGGTACCAGAGTGTACACTGAGTTGCATTGAACTTGTCGCAATGAAGTTGGCTACAAATTCACTAACACATTCACGCCGCGTCGGTGAGTCGATCTCGCCCATCGTCTCACCAACGCAGCGTAGATGCGTTAGTGAAGTTGGCCACGCATTCACTCACCGACGCGGCGTGAATGCGTTAGTGAATTTGTAGCCAACTTCACTGCGACAAGTTCAATGCAACTCACGATCAGTGTACTCGGACTTGTTACGGGCATCGCTGTCTCTACTACTACGATTACCGATTGGTGATATTGGACATCATCGCGACAATAGGCCTACGAGCATGTGTTATGAAGAGCAGATAACATCACGTGATACCTTCAGATTTAATTTATACGAAAATCCTGCGCGTTCCTTGTCCTATACGCGGTATTTTGATGTTGGTACATGAGAGTTATAAATGGATTAAGAAGTGAAAGGCATTCAGCTGCGTGACCTCGAGAAATTTTGGAAGTGCAAAGTATTCTACCACTTCCAATGACTCGCTCGAGCCGAAGACGTACTGTCCAACGACCACTAAAAGTTCCATTGGTCGCGCCCCATCTCAGCTCACAAATACTTTCGGTCGTGATCACATCTACCAACTAGACTCGTAAAACCTGCGGGTCAGTCGATGTGTGCGTAGTATCCCCTCTTGAGACTTCTTGTCAGTGGTGGACAGTACCTCGCACTCGTAGCAGTGCACGCGTGCAAATAGAGGTGTTGGCGACTTGATTGATTGATTGGAAGGTTTTCTTGGGACTTACTTTTCGCTCTTCTCTTGATTTTTTCCCGAAAAAATCAGATAAAGGTACGATGATAGACCTTGACCTCCACAGTAACCACCTTGAATATTATTCGGCACACGCTTTTGGAATCCGAGATATGAGGTTCGAAAGTTGGGTTTTGGACTTATCGTTAGTCAAAATTCGATTTCATGGGAAATCTAAACTCATCCGATCGTGATCAAACTTGGTACTCTTCGGAGGAGATCACTGTGAACTTTTGAATCAAGAGAAGAGCGTTTTTTTCCTATCGGAAATGTAACTGATCCTTCTTGCCCGAGATGGCGTTGCAGGGAGGACGTTGGCGGGCACTCGTGTCTACTACTTGTTGAGCGTCCCTGCATACTGTTTTCTCACTCTTGGCTATTATCTCTTCCTCTTACCGGAATATGCAGTTTATAACATCACTATGGATACATCACTTTTACTTGGATAACGTACTCTTTGTTCTGAAACCTATTACCCATTTCATACAGCATAATGTAACTTAATTATCAACACTTTTAGAGAAGAGTTAATAGAACTGGATAAATAACTAAAAGTTATGTATTGAGTTTATTAAAAATAAAATTGTTCCTTAAAAACATATTTTCATGACGATTAAAGTGTTGAACGAAGTTATACAAACATTTATTTATGATGTTAGCTTGATAACTTCATTCAAGTTACTTTGACTGTTTATCCAATAACTCTTTTATCCAATTATGACAGATATAAAAGGGAACTTTAGTTTTAAACGTTGAAAGCTTGTTGTTTATTTATGTTGAGAATTTTTTTCTAATGGTCGGAAAATTTGCATTCACTGGTGCAAAGGTCAGCATTACCTGAGGAGAACACTTTTTTATTGCACTCTCTCAGTGTCTCATGCGCATTTTTTAGTTTCAGTTAGTCCTCTGTAATCCTTCAAGCTGAGAACAGCATTTCGTTTTGTTCAACTTATACATTAATAAATATATACTCTGTTGTATTTATTGAGCAAATAAATATTCAACAATTTATTTTCTATGTATTTTTTATAAAAATGACGATATGCTTATATTGAAAATTAGCTTTTTAGCAAAAGAAGTAACAATGTAATTAATTATTTAAAAATGTTTAATATGTTGTAAATTATAACTATTTATATTTTCTGATAGTCCATCGAAAGTCCCGGAAGGGTCAAATATCTCAAAAATAAAAAATAAAAAAGTTCATTTACTTTTTTCTTTAAAGTGGAGTCAAAAAAAGATTCTACGATTCTATAGTTTTTAAAAGTACCTAACAACAATTTTTTTCAACTTACCAACGCAATTTCTTGGTCCATCGCCGAATGGTAAATAGTGCATAGAGTGTCGAGCTGCGACAGCGTCCTCATTGAACCTTTCCGGATCGAAAGAATCAGGGTTTGGATAAATATCAGAATTTCGATGCAAGGCAAACACTGGGATCCAGATTTTTATACCCTTTGGTATTGAAACCTTAATGCCATCAAAAGTGTAGTTTGATATTGCATTCCGAATTAGTAATGATACAGCTGGGTACATTCTTAACGTTTCTACACGGATAAATTATATAACTTTTAATATTTGATGAGGTTTAATTAAGCAATAATATCAGGAATGCTCAGGAAGTAGTAATCCGGGCACGGCCGCCCGCATAGGTAAGTCCGTACTTGCACGCATGCACTGTTATGCCGGCAGTACACGCTCGCCGAGGCGATTCGAACGTGAGATCTCCCGAGGCAAGACGTCCCGAGACCCGAGATCCGAGAGCATCGTATACACTCTCGCGAGGTAACCTCGTGTCGGCTTCGCTTCCTTTGACTCGTCCTGAAAGCTCGCGTCTAGGCCGAGCGCTCCGAGCACGAGGCGAGAGGGCACGAGGCGAGGCGAGACCATCAAGTACATTCTCGTGCTCGCCTGGTCTCGGGTCACCTCGGCGAGCGTGTACTGCCGGCATTACGGGCTCCAGGTGCTTCCGCTCGCGACGAGACGGCACGCGCGATCATTCTAGCGCCTAAAATCCAGGGCAAGGGGATGCCTTCAAATGCTCCGCTCAGCTCAACTGATTTTCAGCACTGTCCTACGATTACACGATGTCTTGCAAGACGGCACCGCGATAAGATGGGTAGTACGCACACGCCGACTGCGCCCCTAGAGTTACACGAGCCTAATTAGTAGGTACGACCGCTTCGACAAATTGCAAAATTGTGTGAGTCATATTTCCCGCAGTTGGATTAGAGAAGGGTGGGTTCTACGCAATTAAGCAATTAAACCAGCATATCATCCAAGTGCCATCTCATCACGAGCGCAGAGTACGTTTTCGTCTTAGGCGTCAATGGTTTGGGAGTGGAGGGACTGCTTCAGCGTTACATATGCATACTGCCAATCGCCTCTACCGATCGCCGAGTGGAAACAACGATGCCCGTAATAAAGCCGTTTGGCATTCAAGCGTCCGCGTATTTAACTCGTTTGATCGTCCCTGATTAATGTTGTAAAACTTTCATACCTACCTTTGAATACTTTATCTAAATATTCCATTTCTTTTACAGTCTCGTATTTCAACTCTCCTTTGTCTTTAGAGCAGTACTCCATTATTTCTTCTCGTAGTTTATTTTGTATCTCTTGATTTACGGCTAATTCATAAAGAGTATTGCTAATCGTCGTCGATGAGGTTTCGAAACCCGCCGAGAAGAACACAAAAGCTTGTGCAGTCAGTAAAGAGTCAGTTAATTCTACAAAACGTTATTGATAATAGATTGTTGCGTGATCGTAGCGAGGAAGAAAGTGCTCAGGCCTGGCTCAACTGGGATATGGTTGGCGAGTCGTCAGTTAGCCATAACTGATTGATGTTAATTAATCAACGAAATTGAATTTCATATAATTAATAGTCAAAATTTTTATGTTGTTACATAATTACCGATATTGTTCAGTTTCTCTGGATGGGCCTTAAGTTCCATAAGCATGTTGATGAAATCTGGTCTAACGATATCATTCTCTTGCCTGTATTTTATGGTGTCCGTAACAACTTTCGTGAAGAATGAGGCGAGTCTTCTGTCGGGTATTATATAACCAAGCAAATCGTACAGCTTAGGGAAGAATTGTCGCATTTTGAATCGAAAGACGTTTTCGAAAGTTGCATCGAAGACGTCTCTACCCTTTTGATGGAATTCGCTTCTCCCGTCTGCTAGTGCATTCATTTCAATTCCAAATGCACAACTACCAATCACGTCAATCGTGAATCTTGCTGTTAATTCTCGACATTCTAGAGGCTCTCCTTTTTCAACCTCTTTCGCCAAATATTTTTCCAAATGTTGCGAACATTCGATTATGAGATAAAACATTTCCTTCAGTTTCCCAGGTGTAAATATGGGGGAAAGCCTCGCTCTCAATGGTCGCCATCTTTCTGCTTCTAAGTTGAAGAGATGTGGTGAGAGTGGCTCTGTCTGTAAATATTCAATGAAAAAAATTCCATTATGTTAAAGTTATACTGGTACACTTAACCCTTCTACAGCTCTTAATGACAAAGTATTTGAAACAAAATGTAAAATTAGTTTTAGAAATTATTTTCTTGAATATATTAGGGTGGATAATTTGAAATAATGATGTGTTTTTATGTGTGCTGATACGCTATTTAAAATATTCATTTGCAGCTGAAAATTTGTTTTGTATTTTTTTGTATGAAAGGGATAAATGTAAATTTAGAAATACAATAAGCTCTTGCTATATTGCCGCCAATGGGCCTGCAGGAGCAGCAAATTCATCCACTCTCGAGCTCTCATTTCAAGGGGGGAGGATTGATAAAAATGTATCGTTTTCATAGACTATGATGGTGGAAGGATAGCACTAGTATGCGTTAAAATTCATATCAAATTGTTCACGTGGCAATATAACGAGAGCATACATAATTAATTATTAATGTCAATGTCAATTACTTAATATATTTCTGATTAACATTTTCAATAATAATTTAATTTAGTTATCATTGCTACTTCAATACTAATCTTTTAACTTAGAGGTATCACTATCAATTAACCCTTTAACGGTCGGTGGGACACATGCGACCCACCTAATTGAAAAATCATAACTTTCATAAAAATGAAGATATCGAGGTTTTTGAGGGCTCATTTTGAAAATGAAGGATACATCTGATAATAAAAAATTTGGCAAATGCAAGGGTTGTACCCCTTCCGTTTTACACCCTGCCAAAAGGTACGAAAATTGCACAAAAATAGGAAATAAGCATAACTTTCAGAAAATTTTTTTTTTAAAGTTGAGATTTCACATGTATGTTTGAAAACCACATAAAAAATTATAGCAAAAACGTCCGGATCAAAAACTACCCCTAACAGTAATGAAACGTCGATGCGCTATCCAGAATGAACGACGTGGACGTGATAGGGTTCTCATCCCATAGAGGTGATCTTTGAACGTTAGTCCCCTTGCCTCTCAGGAATCGGGGTGCTTTTGAACGTCAATTGTTTCAGTGTCAAATTTATGGATTGTGGGTGAATTTTTCTCAACTGAAGGATAATTCATAAGGATTGTATTGATCCAAAAGTTCCTCAGAATATATTCACGTGTCCCACGAAACGTTTTTCAAAACACTTATACTTCGATTCAGATCAGGATACAATACAAAAAATGTGATTATAACATTTTATACATTGGAGGTGGGTTGTTCTCAATTGAGGGGTAATTTATAAGGGTTAATTGATCCGTAAGTTCTTCAGAATCCCACTACGTGATCTGGAATGATTATGTCTCCATTACGAGCAAAATTAAACGATGGGAAATGAAATTCAAATGTTTTCAAACAATTGCGGTGGTTTTATCATTTGGGGGAAGTTTCTGGGGGTATAAAAATCTGGAACAGCTTTTTTTCTCATATTGGATACTCATGAATTCAGATTTTCCATGTACGGACTTTTCCAACCCCCCAGAAAAAATTCGGCCGTTAAAGGGTTAAAAGAGACTTTAAAACACTATCATATTTTAATAATTAAAACTAATTTAATAATTATTTTTAATATTGTTTGTTTAAAATATACCTGTTTCTGTCTTACGACATTTCAGAGTAATTATATGGGCAAAAATAGGTGATTTTGTATAAAAACAAAAATTACAAGATCAAGACTTTTACACGAGATAATTTGCAATTAATAGATAATTGTCCGTTAAAATTACGTAAAGGTATTGAACTTAGCTTATGCAAGTATACAGAAATATAGTAGAAAAGTAATAATAAAATCAATTATGCAGGTAGCTCTAATAATTTGATTACTCGCTGTACTTTAGTATTATAATAATGGATTCATCATTATTAATTACAATTTATACATACCTTCTCATAAACAAGAGCTCCTCGATCTGCAAATTTGGAGAAATCTCTAATGAGAACGTGTTTGATAAGCTCTGGATCATTCAATATAAGACTTGGTTTCTTCACTAAATAAAATCCGATCATTGGTTCATTTTTATATTGATCGTACGTGGTATGTATATAATGACGTAATGATATGTTAGTAAATATTAAATGCATAGTGTTTCCAAAGAATGGTATCGGCGTTGGTCCAACTACGCCACGTTTCTTCCAAAAATCAAAGTTTGATATAGCATAATAGTAGAATGCGATAAGTATCACTGCGATAGAGAGTAGAATTTCAAAGTAGCTCGCCATTTTGATTTTATCCACTGAATTTTGCAGTTTCTGAAGATTTATGACAAGAGTTCATGATCTAAATATTTCAAAACTTGTAATACGCAGTTTTGTAGATTTTTAATCCATTTCCTATTGCAAAAAGAAATCCTATTGTTTGAAATAGTTCAAATTATTAAAGTATTAAAATCTGTATCTTTTCTATGTTTCTTCTCCAATATTATTTCTTTCTGGATTTTTCTATACGATTAAATGTTATCTAATTTTATTTGCAATACATTTCACTGGCATTGAAAAGTGTGTCCACTTCACCAATTTTTATGATTTTTAGATATGTTATAGGGATCAACATTTTGAATAACTTTTTTACATATAATTCCCGCTCGTTCTTATTTAATTTATGAGATATTCACTAACGTAAAACCTATCGTTACTTTTCCATTAAATTTTGCCTATACGTGTGTGCTCCTGGCAGCGTATGCATTGGTATGCAATTGTCGCTTATCTAATGTTTCTACAAACAGCATAAAAGCCGAGAACCAGTTTATATAGCAATTGAATTTCAAAATCAAGTACAATTAATTTTAATGATTTTGCAGCATGCAGATTTTTGTACTGGATGAGGACACGATGATAATATGAAGCATTCAGGGACTATCAAATCTTAGAGGGCCCCATTGGTTGATAAACTTGGTTCAAAAATTAAAATTTATTTTAAGTAAAATTAAATAACACTGAATCGCAAAGAAAAATGGCAACGGTAAAACAAATTTGTTACATATTTTTTGACATACTAATGAAAGGTTTAGAAGGGGGTACCCTAGAAAGTGGAATCGATAGCTGCAGCCCCCCCTCCTCGAGCTCCCCTTCACCTGGCGTTGTAGTGGATAATTTCTAATTAACTATTGCCCATTACAATTATGAAACATAATTAAACTTAACTAATGTAAGTATGTATAAAAAATATAATAGAAACGTAATAATTCAAATAAAAGAGGTTTAATAAATAATTTTTAATAAGATTTCTAATAAGTAATTTGATTATTCACTGTAAATGTTTAAATAATTTTAAAAAATGTGAAGTAAAGTACAAAGTAAATTTTTTAAAAATTGTATTTACCCAATATGCTACTCAATGTATATTACACTGACTTTCTATTACACATTACATACACTTTCACCACTTATTAAATTCAATTAAAAAAATAGAAGCTATTTTATAAATCCACGGATATTTTTAGAAATTGTTAATGGATATTTAATATGTTTAATTACACTTATTATTAATTCTATGCTATCTAAAGACAGTAATCTGTACTGATTGAAGAAGGCCCGCTGTAAAATACTGTTTCAACAAAACTAAGAGTACACTATCAGCTCTTTGGTCTTATATACTTTGTAAGCGGTACTCGCTGATGACGTCGCAACTGAGTTGTCCTTTTCTATAACTGAACTGTGGTTGCTCACCCCTTTTGATTTTATCTGAATTTGTTGTAAAATGAGTATCAAACTCTGTTTTTCATATTTACCTCCAATACATGTATGTACTCGCGTACTCATTTCTTCTGCAGCCCTTGCTTTATTTATCATTTCATTTCATTATTTGCAGAATCTATTTATACTGTCTGATTGTTAGTTCGAAATGTCGCAATTTGATCTCATTTTGTTATCTGATAATACAATTATATAGATCTTACTTCAGCACACTGTTAATTTCACATTGATAAATAAAAGTGCTTTTACATACTGGTTCAGAGTGTTAAATGATTGTTGGATAATTGCGAATCGTTTCGGTATTTTCTAAAACATATTTGTGGAATTATTCGTGACTATCGAGTAGATAAATAGTCATATCTCCGGTTGACATGATCGTGATACAACTCAAAAAATACAAACGTCAGAGAAGAGATTGTTTAAAATTTACGTTCTTGAGAATATTATAAGCAGGCCTTATTAATTATTATTATAAAATATTGATGGAATTATGAATATGCCATTTTATATGATGAAAATAGGAATATAATGTAGATCTTGTATAGAATTAAAGCAAAATTGAAATTCTTTGAATTGTGCCATTATCATTGTTGAATAGCGATATGGTTATCCAGATATAACCACAGCTTCAACGATAAATAAATCTAGAAGAAATTCAAATCTATTTTTATATGAAATGAAGCTATAAGCAAAGTTTCATCCAAATCAGATTTAACAAGTTCTCGGAAGTACAAAATAGTTATAACGGATTTTTTAAAATAGAATTTATATGGGGCACCCAATAGATGCGGAAACCGATATCGTTATCGTGTTAACGGCTGGTTAACATTTGACGACGACGGCTACTAAAGCGGAGACGATTATATTAGTTATGTCTGTGTAAATAGAATTTTATGTATTATGCTGAAAATTTTTAATTATTATCTCGGAACCTAAGGCTAATGAGGATATCGCTTTATATTTGGGTCTTTTTATGCTCTCTCCTCTGTTTCTTCAAATTTCGTGTCTATCAACCATCAGAGACATTCAGATCTAAAGCCGAAACCTTGAAAGCTCTTTAATTTCACATATTTCCCTTTATCATATTTATTTCATTATGTTCTATTGTATTTTAAACTACATTCGCTGCTTTTTATTTTTAAATACATGTAGAGATGAAATATACAATAAATTCGACAGGTGGGACAAATTTTAGGAGACGATTCTGGGGGTTAAAATAAGACGAAAATCAAGAATGACAAAATAACGTTCGCAGCATTATTGCATAATTATTACCAAAGATTCGCGTCGAAAGCGCCTAAAACCGGCAATCCGCACAGCATCCACGATTGAACGTCGTGTCAGTAGGGGTGTGTACAGTCATAGCCAACAGTGATTGAATATTAGAAAAACAAGTATTACTCTGCTCTTCTGTGCTGCAATATTGTAATATGACATGCCGCTGACTATAATAACTGATATATATAATAATTATTATAGTCGACAAGCTCATATTAGTTTTAATAAGTACGGTGTGCGTTATAACACTTCTTCCAAGATTAAAAAAAAGGATTTAATATTCAGCATTTAATAGTCAGCATTTTATATCTAATTGGAACAAAAAGGAACATTATATCACGTGGTAAGCTCTGAAATTACATTACATTACATTACATTGAAGGTTTACGTGGGCACGTCTGCCCAAGATGGTGGTTTCAGGGGGGCTCCCCTCCTACATACAGGGTGTTCGACAACAGGTGGGCAAAATTTTAAGGGGCGATTCTAGGAATCAAAATAAGACGAAAATCAAGAATAATGAAATAGCGTTTGCAGCTTTGTTTTCCAGTAATTAACGTTTAAAAATTCGAATAAAAAACGCCTGAAACCTGCAATCCGCTCAGCACCGACGACTGAACGTCAGATCAGCAGGGGAAGGTACAGTCATAATCAAGAATCGTCGAATAGTAGAAACTTACCTCGTGCTATTCTGTTTCTCGGTACCGCGGCATTCGGCTTCGATTCTTGGTTATGACTGTACAGACCCCTGCTGACCTGACGTTCAGTCGTCGGTGCTGGGCGGGTTGCCGGTTTTAGGCGCCCGATTCTTTTAACGTTTATAAAATGATTTTGGGTACACTTCCGTGTTTCACCGCCCCCAAAATAGGACAGTTTATATATATTTCGAAAGGTCTCGACGAGTCCTGTCAAACGAGCCTAGTCTCACGTTGCGCAAATGGAAAAAATTAATTTAACTTAACCTAACCTAATTAAATCGAGAAAGGGAATGGGATTGAGCTTAGGAAAAAAATTTGTTTTTTTGTGCTCCTTGGGGTTCATACTCCCGGTCTCGCTGTCGAAAAGCGAGTGCCTTAACCTATATGCCATTCAACCGCTATTATAAATAGGAATTTTAAACTTCTTTTTAAGTAAAAAATACAAAAATTCAACCGGTTATAACTATTTCATTATTCGTTTGCGCAACCTGGGACTAGGCTTATTTAATAGGACCCGTCGAGATCTGTCAGGGGATGTATCCTAATTTTGATTCTACGGGCGGTGAAACATGGAACTGCAGCCAAAAACTATCTTCAGGCACTCGATTTGTAGGAATACGGAGTACAATAGCGGGACATATTATTTAAAAAAAAATTAACTTTAGACATTCGATTTGTAGGAATATTCGCCCCTAGGTTATGTTATATTACAAAAAATGTATATATCACATTTGGCTGAAGGTGTTAGGTCATTCATACATTTTCTAGATTATGTGAGCAGTATCGTATTTTATACTTTGTGTGTAACGTTCATAATATAGCTATCGTAGCATACATGTGTCATTTAGGTGTATGCGAAAAATGACGTAGCATAGCATGCCGTTAGTTGAATACGATAACTGGTTCGGCCTAATTTACGATGAAGCGTTGACTGTTTTACCGACACGGAATTCGGAGTTCGGCCGTCACGCTCGCATCACCTGAACCATTTTCTGCTCTAATAAAATCCCTATATTCAACTAACGGCCATACGACTTAGGACTACTACCGGTTCTCGTCCGATCACCGAAGTCAAGCTAAGTTCGGCGCGGATAGTACTTGGATGGGTGACCGCTTGGGAACTCCGCGTGCTGTTAGTTTTTTTTTCTCGAATTAAAAAAAAAATTGGCAGCCGTAATCGATAAAACTCTCTTCCATTTAATTTTAAATATTTTAAGTATACAAATCTTCGAATACAGTTGGATTACAGCGTATACGATAGTTTGCTTTCCGTATATGCGGTTCGAAACTTCGGAGTTTCACCAGTGCATTGATTACAGATCCAACAAGACTAGATATCCCTTTGTTTTCAAGTGGTTTTAAATTTGTGCCTTGATAACGAAAACCATCTGCTCTACTTTAGTATAAAAATGTGAAATACATACTGCAACAGTCTAATGCACGTTGATGGTAATAGTAGATTGCTTCGATACCAAAGACTACACCTCATTACTCATTGTGCAGTCGAATTCGCGCAGAACGAAAGAACAATCGCAAAATATCAACATTTTACGAAATTTTGATTTCCTATCTTTCCCTCAGAGGATCGAATTTTATTTTCTGTCATGCTTGAGTAACATTGATATTTTTGAATGTCACTGTAAGGAAATTGTTCAACAAATTATTCTTCAAATCCATTTTTAAACAAATCTAATTTTTATTTAAAATGTTTAAATAAACTATACGCTCTTCTCTCGATTTACGCAAATTACCCGTTTTTTTGTCTACTAAAGACATCCGCGTTAATACAAAAAAATACTGAAGGAAAAACTTTAAAAAATTTATTTAGTATCCTCTCCGTCATATAGGTTAAATTAACCATCTCGTATACAAAAGATATCTTAACATTAAGCAACAAATATACATTCTGTAGGCATACGATATTCGAATACTGTAGGCTATGGACAGCCATTAGCGGCTGTACGTGTATATGTATATATGATATGTATCTATGTTTGATTCATGTTTGTTGACATCTTGCCTTCCGTGTCCCCGCGCAAAAAATCTGAGCAACAAATATACATTCCTTCTATATTGTTTTTTACATCCATAATGTGTAATGACTTACAAAAAATATTTTCAATTTAATGTATGTCAAATAAGTTACATTAACTTTGTATTTTTGTGAACTTCAAGTATATCCCTTCTTTTGGTGCTAATAAAAACGCAGCTGGATCAAATTCGTAAGGAATGCTTGTCTTTTCGCAAACGTCTACTTTGTAATTCCGTAGAATTGCAATAAGGCCAACTTTGGTTTGATAAATTGCGAAACGTGCACCTGTAAATAACATGTTATTTTTATCTAAGATTGTATTTAAGATTTTCACTCTTTGGTACGGGTTGGCTAATAAATAAGTAATTAAGGTGAGAGGTGAAAGAACTCACATTAAACCCATATGCACATATCAACAACACACTGCACACCCTCAACCCCCTTCCTCACACGAAAAGAGATGAAAGTACGATCATGCAACCTTCCATTGGATCACCCTTAATAATGCTAACGCTAGCGAGACTATATCTTTGATAGCTCATAACTTAGACAACTTTCATAAAGAAAAGGTCGCAAAAGGGTTTTGAAAAAGTCTCGCAGTCGCCTTTAACATTATATGACCAAAAATGGGGTGTTTCATTTAAAAAAATCATGTTGACCTTGACGTGATCTTGACCCGTTCTCTCAAGATCAAACGGATAAAACCATGTGATAGAAATTTTAAAACTAAAACTTTTGTCTGATCCATTAAAAAAAAATAATTCGTTTCTAAGATATTTCACCGTTCCGGGACTTTTGACGAACCCTATATAATTAATTATTTGAATAGCTAAAAAATTTCATTTCTATTTATATTTAAAGTGGATGACTATGAAAAAAAGGTTGTACAATTCTATAGTTTCTAATAGTAATAACAAATTTTTTCAACTTACCAATGCAATTTCTTGGTCCATCACCGAATGGTAAATAGTGCATAGGATGTCGAGCTGCAACAGCGTCTTCATTGAACCTTTCCGGATCGAAAGAATCAGGATTTGGATAAATATCAGAATTTCGTTGCAAGGAAAACACTGGGATCCAGACTGTTGTACCCTTTGGTATTGAAACCTTAGTGCCATCAAAAGTGTAGTTTGATATTGCATTTCGAAATAGTAATGATCCAGGTGGGTACATTCTTAACGTTTCTACACGGATAAATTATATCATTTTTATATTTGACAAAGTTTATTTAAGCATTAATATCAGGGATGCTCATCGAGTAGTAATTCGGGCACGGGCGCCCGCTTTAAGTACTATTTGCACGCGTGCACTGTTACGGGCTCGAGGTACTTCCGCTCGTGACGAGATGGCACGTGCGATCATTCTAGCGCCTAGAATTTAGGGCGAGGGGATGCCAGTGACTACTGTGCCAGTACATAAGTACTGTGGAGAGATGGAAAGTACATTAGCGGAACGAAATAGGGGCACAGGGAGCCTTTCGCACATTCCGCCCTGCCCCCACGTTTGATCCTCGCGTTCAAAATTCGCCGCAACGCTGACTTCGTACCACCTCGCTTTGTCGCAAAGTCTCATTTTTCTTCTTTGTCATGCGACGTGATTAGTGTGTGATCGCATCGGCCAATAGCGGGCGATAATCTAGAATGCATGTGCGTAAGGCGTGATGTACCGACTCCAACCAAACGTACCCGCATTCCTTTCCCTAATATACTTTCCATCTCTCGACAGTACATTACCAATCGCCACTATCGATCGCCGATTGGAGACAACGATGCCCGCAATAAAGCCGATGGCATTCAAGCGCCCGTGTATTAAACTTGTTTGAGCATCCCTGATTTATACCATAACTGAATATACGTAGTTCAAAAAGTGTTACAAACTGCTATTTTTTATATTTTGTAAAACTTTCATACCTACCTTTGAATACTTTATCTAAATATTCCATTTCTTTTACAGTCTCGTATTTCAACTCTCCTTTGTCTTTAGAGCAGTACTCCATTATTTCTTCTCGTAGTTTATTTTGTATCTCTTGATTTACGGCTAATTCATAAAGAGCATTGCTAATCGTCGTCGATGAGGTTTCGAAACCCGCGAGGAAGAACACGAATGCTTGTGCAGTCAGTAAAGAGTCCGTCAATTCTACAAAAAGGTTATTAATAATAGATGTATCCATGACGTACGGTTTGGGTCTCGATTTACTCAGACTGCACTGTTCAGAAGTTAAAATCAGCTATCTGCTATTAGTCAGTTAACTGACAAAGTGCTGAATACTCCTCGCGGAAGCAAGCCGTGTGGACGTGCCGTTACGTGACCTAGCGGTTACGATCGTTGGGGACGGAATATCTTTTTTGCTAATGTGAACTATGTTGATTGAATACGCAAGGCACAAATAAGTTATAATTATTATTCCTATACGTTAAATCAAATAATACAAGAAAATTATTTTCGAACATACAGGGTGTTCGACAACAGGTGGGCAATATTTTAAGGGATGTGTCTAGGGATCAAAATAAGACGAAAATCAAGAATAGCGAAATAGCGTTTACGGCTTTGTTTTCCAGTTATTAACGTTTAAAAATTCGAGTAAAGATTGCAGGTTTCTGGCGCTTTTTACTCGAATTTTTAAACGTTAATAACTGGAAAACAAAGTCGTAAACGCTATTTCGTTATTCTTGATTTTCGTCTTATCTTGATCCCTAGAATCACCCCATAAAATATTACCCACCTGTTGTCGAACACCCTGTATATGCTTCCTTAGTCCACACAGACAGCTTTCGCTGGACGCTTATGTCCATAGCACTCAAAGGGTTAATAATAATTAATCACCGAAATTGAATTTCATATAATTAATAATCAAAATTTTTATATTATTTCATACTTACCGATATTGTTCAGTTTCTCTGGATGCGCTTTAAGTTCCATAAGCATGTTGATGAAATCTGGTCTTACGATGTCATTCTCTTGCCTGTATTTTATAGTGTCTGTAACAGCTTTGGTGAAAAATGAGGAGAATCTTCTTTCGGGTATTATATCACCAAGCAAATCGTACAGCTTAGGGAAGAATGCTTTCATTTTATTTCGAAAGATGTTTTCGAAAGACGATGCATCGAAGACGTCTCTACCCTTTTGACGGAATTCGCTTCTCTCGTCTGCTAGTGCATTCATTTCAATTCCGAAAGCACAACTACCAATCACGTCAGTCATGAATCTTGCTGTTAATTCTCGACATTCCAAAGGCTTTCCTTTTTCAACCTCTTTAGCCAAATATTTTTCCAAATGCTGCGAACATTCGACTATGAGATAGAACATTTCTTTCAGTTTCCCAGATGTAAATATGGGAGAGAGCCTCGCTCTTAATGGTCGCCATCTTTCTGCTTCTAAGTTGAAGAGATGTGTTGAGAGAGGCTCTGTCTGTAAACATTCAATGAAAAAAATTGTATTATATTAAATTCATTATGGTACATTTAACCCTTTCTACAGCTCTGAATGACAGAGTATTTGAAACAAAGAATCAAATTAATTTTAGAAATTATTTTCTTGAATATATTAGGTTGGATAATTTGAAATAATTATGTTTTTATGTGTATTGAAATGCTATTTAAAATACTCATTTGCAGTTGCAGATTTGTGTTTTGTATTTTTTTGTATGAAAGGGGTAAATGTAATTTTACAAGGAGAGGGCCCCAAGTATGACGATAACTTTTTGATGAGCCTTTGTACAATGATAGAGCTTGAAAAACTGAAGCTAATGATACCCGGTTTTTGGGCGTAGACGATTATTAGTTTATGTGATATTTAATGTTAAAGTTATTATCCTGCTTATGGTCGGAAGTTGGGTCCCGGTAGGTGGATGCTTTTGTCGCGAGTTCAAATCCCGTTGGACAGATTTATTCAACATGTTACAATATTTCACTTTTTCCTTTTTTTTTTTTAATAAATGTATTCTTTTGCAATTATAATTGATTAAAAAATATTTGTGAAATTTATTGTAGCATTCAATGGTAAAATGTTTTTCGTAATGTAAAATCTCTTGGCATTAGACCTTGCATTCTAAGAATGTACTTAGTATGGACGCATGTTCTTTTTGGCTTGGGTGGTATGAGTCCCATACTTGCCCGGGTCATCCCTCTAGCCGAATAGCGCGAAAGGGGTGACTTGCGCGTACGTAACTGTATTTTCTCTTCCAAGAAACAAAAAAAAAAAGTATGGACGCATGTTATTGTGTAAAATACGCTCTACAGTTGACCGACTAACACCGTACAGTGATGAAAGTTTTCTAATATTAACAATAAAACGAGGTTCATTACGAACAGTTTGCAAAACACCGAGTCCATCTTCTACCGAGTCCTGAATTGCCCGAATTTGACACCAAATTCTGGAGCAAGAAAAACTGCCACGGTCATGGAGAGATTGTTCTACCCTTTGAATAAGTCGTCTATCGTGGCGACGACGATTCGGATAGCACATTTGATGCAAACGCGAAATGGCATTCGATTTATCCTAGCATGCTCCGAGTGCGAGAATCATATCCGTATACTCACTACTCAAATAAGCTGCTATATTGAGAAACTGTTAGATACTGAATAATCATACCGATGATAAGACAGTAAGATAAACAAACTGTCAACCGAGGTCATTGCTATGTTTCTAGATACAAATAAGATCCAAAACAAAAGTGTACAGCGAGATGCACGAAGTCGACATGTACCGAGTGCACACGCACCGAGTAAATTTTCGACTTCGATTTTCACGAAAACGGAAACCCGGAGGAAAAATTTTTATTCTTTTTTTTGACTTATTTTTGCCTGTAGAATCACCTCCTAATCGGTTGACCATGAGTCGCAGGACTCCCTGTATAAATAATTGTGTCTAGTACTTCATAGTAAACTTAACGACAATTACATATTATATTTCTGATTAACATTTTCAATAATAATTTAATTTAGTTATAATTGCTACTTCTATACTAACCTTCTAACTTAGAGTTATCACTATCAATTAAAAGAAATTTTAAAACACTATTACGAAACTATTTTAATAAGTATTTTTAATATTGTTTGTTTAAAATATACCTGTCTCTGTCCTACAACATTTCAGAGTAATTATATGGGCAAAAATAGGTGGATTTGTATAAATATAAAAATTACAAGATCAAGACTTTTACTCGAGATAATATGTAATTAATAGATAATTGTCCGTTAAAATTACGTAAAGGTATTGAACTTAGTTTATGCAAGTATACAGAAATATAGTAGAAAAGTAATAATAAAATCAATTATGCAGGTAGCTCTAATAATTTGATCATTCGCTGTACTTTAGTATTATAATAATCGATTAATCATTAGAAATTACAATTTATACATACCTTCTCATGAACAAGAGCTCCTCGATCTGCAAATTTTGAGAAATCTCTAATGAGAACGTCTTTGATAAGTTCTGGATCATTCAATATAAGACTTGGTTTCCTCATTAAATAAATCCCGATCATTGGTTCATTTTTATATTGATCGTACGTGGTTTGTATATAATGACGTAGTGACGTCTTAGCAAACATTAAATCCTTAGTGTTTCCAAAGAACGGTATCGGCGTTGGCCCAATTACGCCACGTTTCTTCCAAAAATTAAAGTTTGATACAGCATAATAGTAGAATGCGATAAGTATCACTGTGATAGAGAGTAGAATTTCAAAGTAGCTCGCCATTTTGATTTTATCCACTTGATTTTGCAGTTTCTGAAGATTTATGATAAGAGTTGAATTATCATTATATCATGATTCCTTATCATAACGATGATTCACTGACTTTTATTACAAGAATGACTTAACAATTTTTGATAATAGTGATTTGATGATTTGTTGATTCTAGTTAACGACGATTTAATAATTTTTTCATGACAATGATTTGATGATTTTTCACGATACTAATTTAATGAATTTTCGTCATTCTATGATGATGATCTAAATATTTCAAAACTTGTAATTCGCAGTAATTCGTAAAATTTTAATCCAATTGCTATTGCAAAAACAAATCCTATCGTTTAAATTGTTTAAATTATTAAACTATTAAAATCTGTATCTTTTTTATGTTTCTCGTCCAATATTATTTCTTTCTGGATTTTTCTGTACGGCTAATTGTTATCTAATTTTATTTGCAATACATTTCAGTGGCATTGAAAAGTGTATCTACTTCATCGATTTTTATGATGTTTAGGTATGTTATAGGGATCAACATTTTGAACAACTTTTTTACATGTAATTCCCGTTCGATCTTATTTAATTTACGAGATATTCACTAAAAACTATCAGTACTATTGCATTAAACGTTGCCTATACGTGTGTGTCCCTGGCAGGATATGCATTAGTATGCGTTCTTCACTTATCTAATGTTTCTACAAACAACACTCTTAAAGCCGGCAACCAGTTTATATAGCAGTTGAATTTCATAATCAAGTACAATTAGTTTCAATGATTTTGCAGCATGCAGATTTTTATATTAGATCAGGATATGATTTGAATATAAAGCGTTCAAGGACTATCAAATCTTAGAAGGCCCCATTGGTTGATAAACATGGTTCAAAAATTGAAATTTATGTTAAGTAAAATTAAATAACACTGAATGGTAAAGAAGAACGGCAACGGTAAAACTTTGTTACATATTCTTTGACATACTAATGAAAGGTTAAGAAGGGGTTAATCTGGAAAGTGGAATCGATAGCTGCAGCCCCCCGCCCCCTGAGCTCCCCTTAACCTGGCATTGTAGTGGATCATTTCTAATTAACAATTGTCAATTACAATTATGTAACATAATAATTCAAACATAAAATAACATAACAAACGTAATAATTCAAATAATAGAGGTTTAATAAATAATTTTTAATAATAAGATTTTTAATAAGTAATTTGATTATTCACTGTAAATATTTAAATAATTTTAAAAAATGTGAAATAAAGCACAAAGTAAATTTTTAAAGAATTGTATTTACCCAATATGTTACTCAATTGTATATTACACTGATTTTCTATTACATATTCCATATATTTTCACCACTTATTTTACCACTTATTTTATAAATCCACGGATTTTGTTAGAAACTGTCGATAGATATTTAATATGTTTAATTACACTTATTATTAAATCTATGCTATCTAAAGAGAGTAATCTGTACTGATTGAAGAAGGTGCGCTGTAGAACACTGTTTCAAGAAAACTAAGAGTATTCTATCAGCTCCTTGGTCTTATATACGTTGTAAACGGTACTTACTGATGACTTCGCAATTGAGTCTTCCCTATCTGCCAAGTAAAGCGGCAGGCAACATCTTACTAAGCGTGACACAGCATTTCTTGAACTTGAGATTATTTTATTAATCGACATCACAAATGATTATTAAATTTTTTGGAAATTGACGATATTTAATGTACATTCATATTAAAATTATTTATTTTTCTACTGCAATTTTATATAAATTCCGTTGATTAACCCTAAAATAATCGAGTCATAGGTTGCAGTTTTGTCTCATACTCTCTTTTTTTTTTGTAACTCTTCGGGACTATTCTTCAAAGCACAGGTGAAAATATATAATTTTCTGGAAATTCCTTCGATAAGAAACAATAATATATTTTTATTGTAATATTTTCTAACTGGTGGGTTCTTCTTGGTTTGGTTTTTCTATGGTTAACAGAAGAATCCTGTGCTTTCGAATTATCATTTTGATCCACATCGTGATCTTTTTTCAGCTTTATTGTCAATACATATTTTAGCCAGGACCGAATTAAAATTTCGAAAGTCTCCTTGGATGATAAACTTGGTTTAATAGTCAAAATTTATTTAGATGTATCCAGCTTCAATGATAAATGGATCGAGAAGAAATTCGTTTTTATATGAACTGAAGCTATTTGCAAAGTTTCGTCCAAATCAGATTTAACAAGTTCTCGGAAGTACAGCCAAAATAGTTAAAATTGATTTTTTTAAATGGTATTTATATGGGGCACCCTACAAATTCGGGAGCCGATATCGTTATAGTGTTAACGGCTAGTTAATATTTGACGACGACGACTACTAAAGCGGAGACGATTATATTAGTTATATCTGTGTAGACAGAATTTTATGTATTATGCCGAAATTTTTTAATTAATATCTCGGAAACTAAGGCTAATGAGGATATCGCTTTATATTTGGGTCTCTTTACACTCTCTTCACTGTTCCTTCAAATTTCGTGTCTGTCAACTACCAGAGACCTTTAGATCTAAAGCCGAAACCTTGAGAGGTCTTTAATTTCATATATGTATTTCACATTATTTTGTTTATTTCATTATGTTCTATTACATTTTAAACTACATTTGTTGCTTTTTATTTTTATATGCATGTAGAGATGAAATGTACAGTGTATTCAACCGGTGGGACAAATTTTAGGAGACGATTCTGGGGGTTAAAATAAGATGCAAATCAAGAATGACAAAATAGCGTTCGCAGCATTACATATATGTATATATGATATGTATCTATGTTGATTCATGTTTGTTGACATCTTGCCTCCTGTGTCCCCGCGCAAGGTTTTTGTACAAATGTACGGACACGATATGCAGATCAGTTCCCTGACGACAGCGGTGTCGAATAGATCAAATAATAAAAGCTAAATTGGTGATACTATTAACGATCCGAAACCATTTCTTTATTCCCGCTCTATACAGCCTCCAAAAATTTATTCTATATTGTTTTTTACATCCATGATGTGTAATGACTTACGAAAAATATTTTCAATTTAATGTATGTCAAATAAGTTACATTAACTTTGTACTCTTGTGAACTTCAAGTATATCCCTTCTTTTGGTGTTAATAAAAATGCAGCTAGATCAAATTCGTAAGGAATCCTTGTCTTTTCGCAAACGTCCACTTTGTAATTCCGTAGAATTGTGATAAGACCAATTTTAATTGGATAATTTGCGAAACGTGCACCTGTAAATAACATGTTATTTTTATCTAAGATTGAATCCAAGATTTTCACTCTTTTAGATACGGGTTGGCTAATAAATAAGTAATTAAGGTGAGAGGTGAAAGAACTCACATTAAACCCATATGCACATATCAACACCACACTGCACACCCTCAACCCCCTTCCTCACACGAAAAGAGATGTGAAGTACGATCATGTGACCTTCCATTGGATCACCCTTAATAATGCTAACACTAGCGAGACTATATTTTTGATAGCTCATAACTTAGACAACTTTCATAAGGAAAAGATCGCAAAAGGGGTTTGAAAAAGTCTCGCAATCGCCTTTAACACTATATGATCAAAAATGGGGTGTTTCATTGAAAAAAATCATGCTGACCTTGACCCCTTCTCTCAAGATCAAACGGATAAAACAATCTGATAGAATTTTTAAAACTAAAACTTTTGTGTGATCCATTAAAAAAAAAAATGATTCGTTTCTAAGATATTTCACCGTTCCGGGACTTTTGACGGACCCTATATAATTAATTATTTGAATAGATAAAAAATTTCATTTCTTTTTTTATTTAAAGTGGATGACTGTCGAAAAAAGGTTTATCGATTCTATAGTTTCTAATAGTAATAACAAATTTTTTCAACTTACCAACGCATTTTCTTGGTCCATCACCGAATGGTAAATAGTGCATGGGATGTCGAGCTGCAACAGCGTCTTCATTGAACCTTTCCGGATCGAAAGAATCAGGATTTGGATAAATATCAGAATTTCGATGCAAGGCAAACACTGGGATCCAGACTGTTGTACCGTTTGGTATTGAAACCTTAGTGCCATCAAAAGTGTAGTTTGATATTGCATTTCGAATTAGTAATGATCCAACTGGGTACATTCTTAACGTTTCTACACGGATAAATTATATCATTTTTATATTTGATAATGTTTATTTAAGCATTAATATCAGGGATGCTCAGCGAGTAGTAATTCCGGCACGGGCGTCCGCATAAGTATTTGCCCGCGTGCACTATTACGGGCTCAAGGTACTTCCGCTCGTGACGAGATGGCACGTGCGATCATTCTAGCGTCTAGAATCTAGGGCAAGGGGATGCCAATGACTACAGATTCAACTTGGATCTGTAGTCACTGGGGGCCCCCAGTTGCCCCGCCCGGTTCGATTGATAGTACTGTCCTACGATCATAAGATGTCTCGCGGGACGGCACCGCGGTAAGAGGGGTAGTACGCACACGCCGACTGACCCTTTAGTTTTATACGAGTCTAAATAGTATATGTGACCGCTTCGACAAATAGCAAAATTGCGCGAGTCATATTTCCAGCAGTTGGATTTGAGAAGGGGTGGGATCTACTTAATTCAACCACTTAAATCCGCATATCATCCAAGTGCCATCTCGTCACGAGTTCACAGTACGCTTTCGTCTTAAGCCTCGTACTGACTTGGGCATTTTGTCCAAACGAATGCTCTCGGCGAACGAACGTGAAATTTCTTCGGCTGTTCGCGCAAATCTTTCTACCTGGGGTACCGTAAACCTTTGTATCTGGGTTCTATGTAGAAAGGTTCTTTCTACCGTAAACCAGTCGAAGTCAGAATGTCGACAGGAACAGATGTCACGATCGCCAGTGCAGCGTATATTATTATGAACACAATAATTAAAAGAAAAAGAAGAAGAACAAATCAAGATAAACGATGGTGGATTAGTCAGATGTATAAAAATAGAGCAACCTCTAGTGGTGAAAAAGTAGTTAGAGATTTACAGATAGAAGCCAGTGGACATTTTAAAAATTTTGTGCGGATGTCATCGGAAGATTTTGAATTTTTAATAAACGCTATCGGTCCCAAAATTCAAAAAAACTACACCAGATTCAGAAAAGCTGAAATGACGGTGAAAGAACGCTTATCTATAACGCTACGTTTTTTAGCAACGGGAGATTCATATACGAGCCTTCAGTATCTGTTTAAAGTATCCAAACAATTAATATCAAAAATTGTTCCGGATTTCGAAAATCAGTTTATGACGGTTCATCAGGCCATATCATAAACTGAGTTTTTCCGAAGGGTAAATTCGACAGCGGTCGACTAAAGGTACTTGGAAATTTGTAACCGGCATAATAAAATTGTTCGCACGAATATCCTTTGATGGACCGACAGCCGTCGGAAAGCGTTCGTTTGTGCCCAGGGCCTTTGCGAACTCATAACGGGTCGTTTTCGGCGCACGAATGCTCTAGTGAGTGTGAGGCTACAGCGGTCAAAAAGCGTTCCTTCGTGCTCTGGGCCTTCGCGAACACATTAACGGGCCGTACTCACTTCAGCATTTTTCCCCGAAAGAACGTTTTCGGCGCACAAATGCATAGGTCAGGACGAGGCTTTAAGCCTGGAACGAACGCTTTCGGCGCACGAATGCTCTAATGCTCTGGTTTACGACATCCCAGGTAGAAGGGTTTGCGCGAACAGTCGGAACACGTTTTTGTACGCACGAATGCGATGCTCGAGAGAACGCAGAAATTTCACCCGAACGAACGTTCATGCGCCGAAAGCGTTCGTTCGGCCAAAAATGCTCAAGTGAGTACGAGGCTTTAGGCGAGAATCGTTTGGGTGTGGATAGGCTGCTTCAGCGTTATATAAGTACTGTCGAGAGATGGAAAGAACATTAGCGGAACGAAATAGGGGCAAAGGGAGCCCTTCGCACGTTCCGCCCTGTTCCCACGTTTGATCCTCGCGTTCAAAGTTCGCCGCAACCCTGACTTCGTACCACCTCGCTTTGTCGCAAAGTCTCATTTTTCTTCTTTGTCATGCGACGTGATTAGTGTGTGATCGCATCGGCCAATAGCGGGCGATAATCTAGAATGCATGTGCGTGAGGCGTGATGTACCGACTCCAACCAATCGTACCCGCATTCCTTTCCCTAATATACTTTCCATCTCTCGACAGTACACTGCAAATCGCCATTACCGATCGCCGAGTGGAAACAACGATGCCCGTAATAAAGCCGATTGGCATTCAAGCGTCCGCGTATTTAACTTGTTTGAGCGTCCCTGATTTATACCATAACTGAATATACGTAGTTCAAAAACTATTACAAACTGTTATTTTTTATATTTTGTAAAACTTTCATACCTACCTTTGAATACTTTATCTAAATATTCCATTTCTTTTACAGTCTCGTATTTCAACTCTCCTTTGTGTTTAGAGCAGTACTCCATTATTTCTTCTCGTAGTTTATTTTGTATCTCTTGATTTACGGCTAATTCATAAAGAGCATTGCTAATCGTCGTCGATGAGGTTTCGAAACCCGCGAGGAAGAACACAAAAACTTGTGCAGTCAGTAAAGAGTCCGTCAATTCTACAAAAAGGTTATTAATAATAGATGTATCCATGACATACCATTTAGGTCTCGATTTACTCAGACTCCACTGTTCAAAAGTTAAGATTAGGCATGGTTAACTTCTTTCCCGCCAAAAACATACGATCTCCACTATTAGTCAGTTAACTGATAAATTGGTCTCTTTGTCGATAGTCAATACTAGCTTCTAAAATTCTGCTACCGAATAACTATTTCATGTATCTTTTGTGGTAATCCCGATATGCGTAACAATGCCAAATTGATTTAGCCAATTTTTTTGCAATACGTATCCATCTTACATATATTGTGAATATATTACGTGCGTATGTGTTTAAAATATATTTTAAATATATTGTATAAACATAAATAAATAACCGAAGAGAAGAGAATAATTGAGATTGAGTGATAAGGAGCGTCGCGATCCTCATATTACTTCTTTCGCTACTTCTGAGCGACTGTTATTATGCGCATGCGCAGCGCGGGAGGGAAAGGGTGATTACGAGTCCATATACAGGGTGTTCGACAACAGTTGGGCAAAATTTTAAGGGCTGATTCTAGGGATGAAAATAAGACGAAAATCAAGAATAACGAAATAGCGTTTGCGGCTTTGTTTTCTAGTAATTAACGTTTAAAAATTCGAGTAAAAAGCGCCTGAAATTTGCAATTCACCCAGCACCGACGACTGAACATCAAGTCAGCAGGGGAAGGTACAGTCATAACCAAGAATCGTTGAATAGTAGAAACTTATCTCGTGCTATTCTGTTTCTCGGTACTGCAGCATTCGGCTTTCTCTTCTTGGTTATGACTGTACCTTCCCCTGCTGACCTGACGTTCAGTCGTCGGTGCTGGGCGAATTGCAAATTTCAGGCGCTTTTTACTCGAATTTTTAAACGTTAATTACTGGAAAACAAAGCCGCAAACGCTATTTCGTCATTCTTCATTTTCGTCTTATTTTGATCCCTAGAATCACCCCTTAAAATTTTGCCTACCTGTTGTCGAACACCCTGTATAATACGCATGCGCAGCGCTAGACACCTGGAAATCGGGGATTGCTGAGGTGATTCTGAACAACTTTTTCCTTTACCAAAATGTTGATTGAAGCTTCGTTTTTTAATTATTAACGAAAAACACTGGCCAATGAGAGCGCGCGTAGAGTGAGCGCTCACCATGAGAACGTTGGCTCTCAGCCGCGCTCGGTCGTAGTCGTGAACAAATGCATTAGCATAGTGTGGGTATCGAGAGAAGTGTGCGACAAATGTTACTTCGTCTTAAATTAAGAACAAATATGGAATTAGTCGTATGTACCCTGAGTTGCATTGAACTTGTCACAGTGAAGTTGGCTACAAATTCACTAACACATTCACGCCGCGTCGGTGAGTCGATCTCGCCCATCGTCTCACCAACGCAGCGTGAATGTGTTAGTGAATTTGTAGCCAACTTCACTGCGACAAGTTCAATGCAACTCAGGTTATTCCATATCCATTACGTATTTTCTCATCTATATTTACCATTTATCCGCTTCTACCATCAGTTAAAAAACATTCTATATGTATGTATGTAGAGTTGCATTGAACTTGTCGCAGCGAAGTTGGCTACAAATTCACTAACACATTCACGCCGCGTCGGTGAGTAGATCTCGCCCATCGTCTCACCAACGCGGCGTGAATGGTTAGTGAATTTGTAGCCAATTTTACTGCGACAAGTTCAATGCAACTCAGTCAGATACACTGATTGTGAGTTGCATTGAACTTGTCGCAGCGAAGTTGGCCACGCATTCACTCACCGACGCGGCGTGAATGCGTAGTGAATTTGTAGCCAACTTCACTGCGACAAGTTCAATGCAACTCAGCGTACCCTGAGTTCCATCGAAGTTGTCGCAGAGAAGTTGGCGCACTAACACATTCACGCCGCGTCGGTGAGCCGATCGGCGAGGTGTCGACGACGCGGTGTGAATGTGTTCGTGAATGTGTAGCCAACTTCACTGCGACAACTTCAATGGGACTCAGTGTACACTTCCCTCGATATCCACGCTGTGCCAATGTGTTTGTTCAGGACCACGACCGAGCGCGGCTGAGAGCCAACGCTCGCGTGGGCGCGCGTTCTACGCCTGCTCTAATTGGCCAGTGTTTTTCGTTAATAATTCAAAAGTAAAGCTTCGACCAACATTTTGGTAAAGGAAAATATTGTTCAGAATCACCCCAGCAATCGCCCATTTCATGGTATCACAAGAGTTATGAGACACCCGGGATAGGAGGTATGGTAACAGGACATGGAGTAGTTAATAGTGGGAAAATTGGCAGACTATAAGTTGGAGTTGCGTGATCGTAGCAGGGAATAAAGTGCCCAGGCCTGGCTCAGCGGGGATATGGTTCGCGAGTCGCCAGTTAGCCATACCTGGTTGATATTAATTAATTAACGAAATTGAATTTCATATAATTAATAATCAAAATTTTTATATTATTTCATACTTACCGATATTGTTCAGTTTCTCTGGATGCGCCTTAAGATCCATAAGCATGTTAATGAGATCTGGTCTAACGATATCATTCTCTTGTCTGTATTTTATGATGTCCGTAACAGCTTTGGTGAAGAATGAGGATAATCTTCTTTCGGGTATTGTATAACCAAGCAAATCGTACAGCTTAGGGAAGAATTCTTTCATTTTGTTTCGAAAAACGTTTTCGAAAGACGATGTATCGAAGAAGTTTCTACCCATTTGACGGAATTCGCTTCTCTCGTCTGCTAGTGCACTCATTTCAATTCCAAAAATACAACTACCAATCACGTCAATCGTGAATCTTGCTGTTAATTCTCGACATTCTAGTGGCTCTCCTTTTTCAACCTCTTTCGCCAAATATTTTTCCAAATGTTGCGAATATTCGATTATGAGATAGAACATTTCCTTTAATTTCCCAGGTGTAAATATGGGGGAGAGCCTCGATCTCAATGGTCGCCATCTTTCTGCTTCTAAGTTGAAGAGATGTGGTGAGAGTGGCTCTGTCTGTAAATATTCAATGAAAAAAATTCCATTATGTTAAATTTATACTGGTACACTTAACCCTTCTATATTTGAAACAAAGAATAAACTTAATTTTAGAAATTATTTTCTTGAATTTATTAGGTTGGATAATTTGAAATTACAATAGTTACAATAGATACAATAGTTTTGACATGACTGCAAAGGTAAAAATCGAGTGGTGACAAATCGGGTGATCATGGTGGTCAAAGTTGGCCCTCCACGACCTATTCAATGTTCATAACGTTCATTTAAAAAATCTTTTACTGATCGACTAAAATGGAACGGAGTTCCGTCATACTGAAAAATCATTTTGTTTATTATGTGAAGTGAAACATCTTCTAATACTTCGGATAGTTCGAAACGTAGGAAATGCAGATACGATGTCGACATCACTGTATCAGGAAAAAAATAAGGACCTACAATGTTGTCACCAAGTATACTGGTGCAACAATGAGACGCCATTTTTCTTGAAAATTCGTTTCTAAAATCATGTGTGGATTTTTTACTGACTATGAATGATCGTTATGAACATTGAACATCCCATCACGTGTGAATTTCGCTTCATCTGTCCACAGGATTCTTGATAAAATTATTGGATCTTGTGAAATTTGTTGTAGCATACATACAATGGCAAAATGCTTTTCATAATGTAAAATTTCTTGGCATTAGACCTTGCATTCTAAGAATGTAGTATGGACGCATATTATTGTGTAAAATACGCTCCACAATAGACCGACTAACACCATACCGTGATGAAAGTCTCCTAACGAGGTTCATTACGAACAGCTTGCAAAACAATAATTTTATACCGAGTCCTGAATTTCCCAACTTGGACATCAAATTCTGGAGCCAGAAAAACTGCCACGGTCATGGAGAGATTGTTCTACCCTTTGAATAAGTCGTCTATCGGGGTGTTACGACGAGCCGCCTAAACGTACGTTAATCGAATTCTTCCCACGATCGGACAAACATCGTGTTACGGCCACCCGCCTAAACGATCGATATTCGAACAATTGAACTCCTCACGACCGGACACCTAAACATCATATTACGACCACCTACTTAAGTATTCGATAAGACGCGTTCTCACGGACATCCCACCTTGTCAATCATCGGCCCCTTCTCCACCACCAACGACATTATAAAAGACCTTACCGGACATAAGCAGAGTCAGTCGGGATCATATTATAAAAATAAAGTGCTAAACCTTTAAAAGTGCTATTCATTTAAAAACATGTGAACTTTCTACGTGACAGGGGCGACGACGATTCTGATTGCGCTCTTGATGCAAACGCGGAGCGGCACTCAATTTATCCTAACATGCTCCGAGTGCGAGAATCATATCTATATTCAAATAAGCTGCCATATTGAGAAACTGTTAAATACTGAATAATCATATCGATGATAAGACAGCACAAATGACGAACTGTCAACCGAGGTCATTACTAGAGGTGTGCGAGTACTCGTAATTTACAAGCCGAGCTGAACTCGCTTCGAAATCGAAATCGACGAACTGTTTGAAACAAACGCAAGCTACTGGAAAAAATCGAAATACTCGAATATTTGAGCTGAAAATTCATCTTTAAGTAAATCGAAGTTTTACGACGCGCGACGGCTCAAATATTCGAGTAGTTCAATTTTTTCGAGTAGCTGGGTTTTGTTTCAAACAGTTCGTCGATTTCAAGTAATTCGGCAAATTCAAACGCTCGACATTGTTTGACTCGAAATTCGAGTACTCGAATAAAACGAGTACTTGCACACCTCTAGTCATTACTATGTATGTTTCTGGATACATATAAGATCCAAAACGAAAGTGTATAGCGAGATGCACGAAATCGACATGTACCGAGTAAATTTTCGACTCCGATTTTCTCGAAAACGAAAACACAGAGGAAAAAATTTTATTCTTTTTTTTGACTCACTTTTGCCTGTAGAATCGGTTGACCATGAATCGCAGGACACCCTGTATAAATAATTGTGTCCAGTACTTCATAGTAAACTTAACGTCAATTACCTATTATATTTCTGATTAACATTTTCAATAATAATTTAATTTAGTTATAATTGCTACTTCAATACTAATCTTCTAACTTACAATTAGAGTAATCACTATCAATTAAAAGAAATTTTAAAACACTATTACGAAACTATTTTAATAACTGTTTTTAATATTGTTTGTTTAAAATATACCTGTCTCTGTCCTACAACATTTCAGAGTAATTCTACGTGCAAAGATAGGTGATTTTGTATAAAAACAAAAATTACAAGACCAAGACTTTTACTCGAGATAATTTGTAATTAATAGATGATTGTCCGTTAAAATTACGTAAAGGTATTGAACTTAGCTTATGCAAGTATACAGAAATATAGTAGAAAAGTAATAATCAAATCAATTATGCAGGTAGCTCTAATAATTTGATCATTCGCTGTACTTTAGTATTATAATAATGGATAAATCATTAGAAATTACAATTTATACATACCTTCTCATGAACAAAAGCTCCTCGATCTGCAAAGTATGAGAAATCTCTAATAAGCACGTGTTTGATAAGCTCTGGATCATTCAATATAAGACTTGGTTCCTTCATTAAATAAAACCCGATCATTGGTTCATTTTTATATTGATCGTACGTGGCTTTTATATAATGACGTATTGACATCTTAGCAAACATTAAATTCTTAGTGTTTCCAAAGAATGGTATCGGCGTTGGCCCAACTACGCCACGTTTCTTCCAAAAATCAAAGTTTGATACAGCATAATAGTAGAATGCGATAAGTATCATTGTGATAGAGAGTAGAATTTCAAAGTAGCTCGCCATTTTGATTCTGTCCACTTAATTTTGCAGTTTCTGAGGATTTATAACAAGAGGTGAATTCATGATCACCTTTCATAATGATGATTTAATTACTTTTTTTACGAGAATGATTTAATAATTTTTCATAATAGTGTTTTGATGATTTGTTGGTTTTAGTTAACAATGATTTAATGATTTTTTCATCACAATGATTTGACGATTTTTCACGATACTAATAGTATGAATTTTCATAATTCTATGATGATGATCTAAATATTATAAAACTTGTAATACGCAGTTTTGTAGATTTTTAATCCATTTCCTATTGCAAAAAGAAATCCTATTGTTTGAAATAGTTCAAATTATTAAACTATTAAAATCTGTATCTTTTCTATGTTTCTCCTCCATTATTATTTCTTTCTGGACTTTTCTGTACGATTAAATGTTATCTAATTTTATTTGCAGTACATTTCAGTGGCATTGAAAAGTTTGTCTACTTCACCGATTTTTATGATTTTTAGATATGTTATAGGGATCAACATTTTGAACAACTTTTTACAAATACTTCCCGCTCGATCTTATTTAATTTACGAGATATTCACAAAAAACTATCAGTACTATTACATTAAATGTTGCCTATACGTATGTATCCCTGGCAGGGTATGCATTAGGATGCGTTCTTCATTTATCTAATGTTTCAACAAACAATACTCTAACAGCCGGCAACCAGTTTATATAGCAGTTGAATTTTAAAATAAAGCACAATTAATTTCAATGATTTTGCAGCATGCAGATTTTTATACTGGATCAGGACATGATTATAATATAAAGCGTTCAGGGACTATTAAATCTTAGAGGGCCCCATTGGTTGATAAACTAGGTTCAAAAATTGAAATTTATTTTAAGTAAAATTAAATAACACTGAATAGTAAAGAAAAATGAGTAAATAAAGGAAAAAAGGTAAAACAAATTTATTACATATTCTTTGAGATACTAATGATAGGTTTAGAAGGGGGTACCCTAAAAAGTTGAACCGATAGCTGCAGCCCCCCCTCTTCGTGCTCCCCTTAACCTGACGTTGTTAGTGGATAATTTCTAATTAACAATTGCCCATTACAATTATGTAACATAATTAAACTTAGCTAATGTATGTATAAAAAATATAATAGAAACGTAATAGTTCAAATAACAGAGGTTTAATAAATAATTTTTAATAATAAGATCTCTAATAATTAATTTGATTATTCACTGTAAATGATTAAATAATTAATTGATTGTAAATGATTAAAAAAAAATGTGAAATAAGCCACAAAGTAAATTTAAAAAGAATTGTATTTACCCAATCTGTTACTAAATTGTGTATTACACTGACTTTCTATTACATATTACATATATTTTCACCACTTATTAAATTCAGTTAAAAAAATGGAAGCTATGTTTTGAATCCACGGATTTTTTTAGAAATTGTCAGATAGATATTTAATATGTTTAATGATACTTATTATTAATTCTATGCTGTCTAAAGAGAGTAATCTGTACTGATTGAAGAAGGCCCGCTGTAAAACACTGTTTCAACAAAACTAAGAGTACACTATCAGCCTTTGGTCTTATATATTTTGTAAACGGTACTCACTGATGACGTCGTAATTGAGTTGTCCTTTTCTATAACTGAACTGTGGTTGCTCACTCCAGCGGGCGGAACCGATATTAGCTCCCTTAATGGATATCAACTAAACAAATTTCTCCACGTTCAGTATAATCGGCGAACGTGTCATTACAGATACCAATCACGATTTGCATAGAATGACCTCCGAGCTACGATAAGTGCAGTGGTTTGCATTTTGGGAGTATCCCAGGCTTATCGTAGTGCCGTAAAATTAATACCCGGTTGCGAAATATATTTTAGACATCGTCGGGGACGACGATGATTTTAAGGAGGGAGGACTGTTACGTTCCGAACAGAAATTTTTACACATTTCCCTTTTGTTTCCCGCAAATTGTCCCCCTCATTTTGTGACTGCATTTGTCAATGCTGTCATTGTCAGCTATCAAGGTGAACGCCATGTTGTCCCTCCCCCTTTCTGTCCTCTTTTTGATGGGTCTACCCCCATCATCTTGATCCGTTATACTTTTGACCTTCGTTAGAGGTATAAACGGAAATCATGAACATCGATAGATTGTTTAACATTCTGGACCTCCCCTGATTGAACGCAGAAACGATCTTTGATATTTCGAGATAGTCTATCTTTTCCAGACATAATTCCGATTGTTAGTGTAACAAATTCCTTCCTCGAAATCGGTGTGGTCCCACGGCCCAAAATTACGTATCGTCTTTGGTTCAGAGTATCGCCGGATGTAAACCCGGAACATCATACGTGTGGTCCGATCATCCTGACCACTCTGGAACGTTCCTTATCGGCTCCGCGAAGATGATCGAAATTCTTTATACATACATTATAATAGTCCGAATTTTCTATTAATTCATTAAATACTGTACAATTGTATTTCCTCCACACCGGTCAGTCCAGGACGTGAATTCAAACTTTTATTTAGCATTCTTTTAAATTCAATAATTGGTATTAATTTTCTAATCCCTTAGAAGAATCAACAATCGTTATCACACGTCCATCACCTTCTCCAAGAATAATAGTGGATTAATGGTTATGGCGGTCTTTGAATTGTATACTTCCTTCAATTTATTTTACAGACTTTTAAAACACCAAACCACGAGAATGTTCCGATGTGGCCCCTGCCGCAATTGAGCGCGAGGAGAAGAGGACGGTTTGCCAGGTTTCGTGAGCAGACTGACACCGCATACGAGGAAAAACAAACTTCTGGAGATCTTCTTACCGTATGGGGCGGAAAATGCGGTGGTTCTGCGAAGATCAACAGGGTGCCACGCTTTCATCACGTTCCGGACTAGGGAGGGTGCGAGCTAAGCGTTGGAAGCAGGAAGCCTTGGCATTGTATGTCAAGGAAGGAGACTCAAGATTTCTCCAGCGGATCCTTGGCCTGAAAACTCATGCCATCACTGCCTGCCGTGCATCCCCTTCCGGAGGTCGATCTAGCTCCGGCGAACCTGTTACCAATAGAAATGATGGTGGAAATATCCCAGTACCTACCCTTTGAGGATCGTTCCAGACTGGAATTGGTGTCAAGGTGGTGGCGACTTGGAAGTCTCGCATCCTATATCGATATCCGACATCTTGATTTCAACGATTGGCGCTGGCCGAACAGATGGGAAGGGAAAAGGGTGACCTCGGAAACATTTTACTGGTTAATCAAAAGAGCAGGAACATACCTTAGATCATTTAAAATAACGGAAGAATTTATAGCAGAAACCTTAAAACCACAAGTAATTGCAGTTGCCATTAAGCACTGTCCGAATTTAACCGAAATCGATTTAACATCCGCAATAATCAGACCTTCTGCAATTAGAAACCTAAAAGCGGTAGGAGCGAAACTCATCAGCTTGGGTTTGGGGAGATGTGAGGGCGTAATAGAATCATAATTACAGGCATTATTCGAAACAGCTAAAGCCTTGACCATCTTAAAGGCTATAAAAACTGCGATGACTGGAAAAGCACTCATAAATATCAATTCAAAATTACAACATTTGATTTAACAAGAATGTAACAAGTTAAATTCATTCTTTCTGGCTGCTACCATAGCGAATTTACAAACTTTAGAAACCGTAGACATAAATGCATGCCTATCACTAACAAATCACACAATTTTACAGGCCCTTTTCAACAATAGTCACCTACTTAATACATTGCACACAATCAGATTTCATTACTGTACATTCACGGAACCATCACTTGAGGTAGGGATGAATCTACAAGACATAGAAGAGGAGGATTTCGTTGAGTTGGATTTTGGGCCGGTGGAATATGCCATCCCACTGCCGCGCCATTATCACCAGATCCAACAATTGAGCCTGACTTTCTGTGGATGGGTAACAACGTATCTACTTGAGGAAATTGGCGAAAATATGCCGCACCTGACCACCCTCGATCTAAGTGGATGTACCAACATACTGGGAAGTTCTGGTCTGGGCCCCCTTTCTCCTCTGCAAAATCTAAGGATCTTGGACGCGAACTGCATCATTAACTATAATACGATGTAGAGACAGTCTAGGTATCATGGGCGAAGATATTTGCGTTGCCATAAGGAATTGTACACAATTAATCGAAATAGACTTAGAAGGATGTAGTAATATTGGAAAACCGGTAGTAGATTGTGCCGAAAACGTTACTTACAATAATCACAGATCGTTAACAATATACGTGGGCGGAACCGGTATTACTGGATATCAACTAAACAAATTTTTCCACGTTCAGTATAATCGGCGAACGTGTCATTACAGATACCAATCACTATTTGCATAGAATGACCTCCGAGCTACGATAAGTCCAGTGCTTAGCATTTTGGGAGTATCCCAGGCTTATCGTAGTGCCGTAAAATTAATACCCGGTTGCGAAATATATTTTAGACATCGTCGGGGACGACGATGATTTTAAGGAGGGAGGACTGTTACGTTTCGAACAGAAATTTTTACACATTTCCCTTTTGTTTCTCTTCCCCTCGCAAATTGTCCACTTTGTGACCGCAATTGTCAATGCTGTCAACTGTGAAGGAGAAATCTTTGTTGTCCCCCCCCCCCCTTCTGTTCGCTTTTGATGGGTCTACCCCCATCATCTTGATCCGATATACTTTCGACCTTCGTTAGAGGTATAAACGGAAATCATGAACATCGATAGATTGTTTTACATTCTGGACCTCCCCCGATTGAACCCAGAAACGATCTTTGATATTTCGAGATAGTCTATCTTTTCCAGACATAATCCCGATTGTTAATGTAACAAATTCCTTCCTCGACATCAGCGTGATCCCACGGCCCAAAATTACGTATCGCCTTTGGTTCTGAATATCGCCGGATGTAAACCCGAAACATCATTCGTGTGGTCCGATCATCCTGACCACTCTGGGACGTTCCTTATCGGCTCCGCGAAGATGATCGAAATTCTTTATACATACATTATAATAGTCCGAATTTTCTATTAATTCATTAAATACTGTAATATTGTATTTCCTTCACGCCGGTCAGTCCAGGATACGAATTCAAACTTTTATTTAGCATTCGTTTAAATTCAGTAATTGGTAGTAATTTTGGAAAGCATATTTTTCTTCCTGTAATGTTAGGATCAAAACAATTTTGTAAAATGTATTATGCTTTAATGAATATCGAAATCTTTAATATGGCAGGAAGGGTAAAGGAACATGCTCGAATTAGAGAGGGAAAGATTAAAACAGAGAGAGGAGCGCACATATCCCTACTGCACCATCGATTAGCGAATCCCGCCTCCTTACGCATCGACACCGCCGCCTAATTCGTTAGGTGCAAGTTAAGTGACAGGAACACAGGTAAGTAAATATACAATATTTTTAATTATACACGTTTACTTTGTCCGTACAGGTCGACAGCTTAGGTCGATGGTTCAACGTTGAATGAATTGTCGTCGAGGCAATGGTAAGCTCTCTTTTTCTTGTGTCTTATTCTCATCCTCGAGTCTGTTGCAGTGCCACGTCCTGCCTGAGGTGATAAGACTGGGGTTACGTGTTGTCACATAACTCGCACAACAACGCAATGTAAACAATTTCGGATGAGGCCCGCTCTGGTCTTCTCCGAGAGGTACAGATTGCGACACTCCTCGACGTACAATCGCGAGCAGATTGTTGGCGGGTCCGTGAAGTGGTTCAGAGACGAGTTTTGTTCTAAGTTGTTTAAAAGTAGCAAATAGGGCAAAAGACTCTATCTTCGCGTATCCATTTTATTTTATTTTATTTTGATTATTATTTTATTCATTTTATTAATTTTTCAGTTTAATTTGTTTTCTTTATAAATTCATACAATTACGTAGTTTTAGTTTAACAGACTTCGCAATAGTTCGCGCGTTCAAAATTGTGTATCAGTGAAATAGTTCCAGGTGTGTGCGTTCTACTCTCCTTCCTCCAGAAACCAGACAACAGGAAAATAGCAACCATAGAAATTGGGACTCATATACGGAATTTTTCCACATAATCCGGTGAGTCGTTTCCTTTACTCTTCCGGTTAGTTTATGAATACTTTGGCGAGGAATTTCCAGTAGTCAGTTTTGATTATTAGAGTCTTCTCTAGCTGGAAATTTCTAAGTCTAAATTGTATTTTATCACACCTATCTACCTATTTCCGGCCAATAATTGTGTGTGTCAAATCTAAGTTGTTCACGAGCTAGATCTGCATTTTCGTATATTTAATCGCAAAATATATATTGTATATATACATATACTTCATTATATTTTAATATTTTATGTCTATTATCATATTTCAATATTTTATACCTATATTCGATACATTTCAGTATTTTATATATTTTATACTTTTCAATATTATATGTATCTCATCATATTTTAATATTTTTATTTTATAATATACCATTTTTGATTCATCTTAATTTTAATTTTCTTTAACATAATCTTTTGTTAGCCTCCTTTATAAATCCTATTATATTAGCGATCTGATGAAAGGGCCCATATGGGACTATTGTATCTCCGAACTCACAAACGTTTAGACCCAATAGCAATAGAAATTTTTAGGGTAAATTTTCCGGCTTTGCGGCGTCACATGCGCGTTAACCACATTTCATACTTTTACGCTCATACAACAGCTGACGCTTACATGATCGTAAGTTGACATGATCGTAACACAACTCAAAAAATGTAAACGTCAGAGAAGAGATTGTTTAAAATTTACGTTTTTGAGAATATCATATGCAGGCCTTATTAATCATTATTATAAAATACTGATGGAATTATGAATATGCCGTTTTACATTATGAAAATAGGAATATAATGTAGATCTTGTATAGAATTAAAGCAAAATTGAAATTCTTTGAATTGTGCCATTATCATTGTCGAATAGCGATATGATTACCCAGATATAACCACAGCTTCAATGATAAATGGATCGAGAAGAAATTCAAATCTGTTGTTATATAAAATGAAACTATTTGCAGAGTTTCATCCGAATCAGATTTACCAAGTTCTCGGAAGTACAGCCAAAATAGTTATAATGGATTTTTTTAAATGGAATTTATATGGGGCACCCAATAGATGTGGAAGCCGATATCGTTATAGTGTTAACGGCTGGTTAACATTTGACGACGACGGCTACTAAAGCGGAGACGATTATATTAGTTATGTATGTGTAAACAGAATTTTATGTATTATGCCGAAAATTTTTAATTAATATCTCGGAAACTACGGCTAATGAGGATATCGCTTTATACATATTTGGGTCTCTTTACGCTCTCTCCTCTGTTCCTTCAAATTTCGTGTCTATCACCCACCAGAGACATTCTGATCTAACGCTGAAACCTTAAGAGGTCTTTAATTTCACATACTTTATTATATTTATTTCATTATGTTCTATTGTATTTTAAACTACATTCGTTGCTTTTTATCTTTATGTACATGTAGAGATGAAATATACAGTGTGTTCGATAATAGGAGGAACAAATTTCAGGAGACAATTCTGGGGGTCAAAATAAGACAAAAATCAAAAATGACAAAATAGCGTTCGCAGCATTATCCCATAGTTATAAATAAAGGTTCGCGTGAAAAGCGCCTAAATCGAGCAATCCGCACAGCATCGAAGTTTGAACGTCGTGTCAGAAGGGGCGTGTGCAGTCATAGCGAACAGTGATTGAGTACTAGAAGCTCAACACTCTGTTTTTCTGTGCTGCAATATTGTAACATGACGTGCCGCTGACTATAACAGCAGAATTATAATGGTCGACAAGTTCGTATTAATTTTAGTGAGTACAGTGTGCGTTATAGCACTTCTTCCCAGATTAAAAAAACGATTTAATACTGAGCAACGAGTTGTCAGCACTTTATATCATATTGTAACAAAAGGGAACGTTATATCACGTGGTAAGCTCTTACATTACATTACATTACGTTACATTACATTACATTGACGGTTTACGTGGGCACGCCTGCCCAAGATGGCGCTTCAGAAGGGCTCCCTTCTTATATCGCTCAGTGGTAAGCTCTTCAATCATCGGTGCTACGCAGATTGCCGGTTTTAGGCGTTCGATTCTTTTAACGTTTATAACTAAAAAAAGAGCCGCGAACGCTATTCCGTCATTCTTGATTTTCGTCTGATTTTGACCCCAGAATCATTTCTTATAATTTGTCCCACCGGTTGTCGAACACCCTGTGTAACAAGCGGAGTCAAAGATTATACTGAACCAATTTTTATGATTTTAAATTGCAGCTTACATGGCTGGACGGAGCACTCTCCTGATTTAAACTAATCAGATCAGTGACGAGGGCAGTGAAATATAAACCGAAAACAAAATTCAATCTATTGTACAGATAGCTAATCAGGACTCCAGCCTAAAGCGCGTAATTATTTTGTATTCATTACTTATTATAGACCTATTACGCAGTGAATGAGTATAGTGACTGGTAAATATTTAGAATAAGGGAGTCATCTCCGATTTCCATTCATTAATCCCCACATATGTTTTCGAAGTACCTAAAAAAGTCCGTCCCAAAGTGATTTGGGAGGCGAAGCCCCCCAAAACAACAGAGGAGATCCTAGTTGCGATTTATTCACTCTTGGAAATATTGACAATAAAGCGCGTTATTTTCTCAAATATTTCGAAAACTAAAAGAGTCCGACTATTATATGTATAGGAAAAAGTTGTTCAGAATGACGACCTTGACAACATATTCACGGAGCACCAATGAACCGCGGGGCACCTGTTAAGAACCACTGGAGTATTGTGTTGATTTAAGTGAGCATGGTGTGCATTATAGCATTTTTTCTCCACCGAGATTAAAAGAAAAATGCTGATTGCTACGCAATGATTTGTCAGCGCTTAATTATACAGGGTGTTCGACAACAGGTGGGCAATATTTTAAGGGGTGATTCTAGGGATCAAAATAAGACGAAAATCAAGAATAACGAAATAGCGTTTACGGCTTTGTTTTCCAGTTATTAACGTTTAAAAATTCGAGTAAAAAGCACCAGAAACCTGCAATCCGCTCAGCACCGACGACCGAACGTCAGGTCAGCAGGGGTCGGCACAGTCATAACCAAGAATCGAAGTCGAATGCTGCAGTACCGAGAAACAAAATAGCATGAGGTAAGTTTCTACTATTCAACAATTCTTGGTTATGACTGTACCGACCTCTGCTGACCTGACGTTCGGTCGTCGGTGCTGAGCGGATTGCAGGTTTCTGGTGCTTTTTACTCGAATTTTTAAACGTTAATAACTGGAAAACAAAGCCGTAAACGCTATTTCGTTATTCTTGATTTTCGTCTTATTTTGATCCCTAGAATCACTCCTTAAAATATTGCCCACCTGTTGTCGAACACCCTGTATGTATAGCCGTAGAATCATGCTGCAACACCGAGGAACAGGAAAACACGAGTTAAGCTTCTAGTATGAAATGATTGTTGACTGTGACTGTACACGCTCCTACTAATATGACGCGACGCGACGTTCAGTCGTTGATGCTGAGCGGATTGCCGGTTTCTGGCGCTCTTCACTCGAATCTTTTAACGTTAATAACTTAAAAACGAAGTCGCGAACGCTATTTCGTCATTCTTAATATTCATCTTATTTTGGCTCCTAGAGTCATCTCTTTAATTTTATCACTCCTGTTATCGAACATTCGGTATAGAGGTAGATTTCAGAAGCAAAGTATATTTTGATTATTTATTTTGAGAACGTTCTTAATGTAATGTATACTAAGGACTTGACATAAAATTAATACAGATGTTAATTACATGTATATTGTTTAGAGTCTAGACGATAAAGTCACATAACGTGCCCCTTTAAATCAAGCAACTTTTGTATTATACAAAAATTTTAATTTTAGAAATACTATTAATTAATTTGCAAAATTCTAATTTTTAAAATATTGTACGGTAAAACGATGATGGGTTCCACTTAGAGCGTGTTGCAGTCAAATTATTTCAAATGTTACCAAATGTTATCAAAAATATTTATTAATAATTAGGTGAAACTAATAGCTCGATAAAACGATATGATTTTTTACACAACTGATCATTTTTTTAAATTTCTAAAATTTAAAACGGGTAATGTAAAATTTTTCTTTTTGTTAAACAGAAAAACATGATAAAAAAACGATTATTTGTTTTAAAAAAGAATATAAATAGAGTAACTAAATTTTATTTAAAACAAGGTATAAATAAATTTATATTTTAGAAATAAAACAATATCAACAAGCAATGACGTGTAATAGGATGCATGATGCGTGCCCTTTCAATTTAATCATTCCTTTCAAAAACAAGTATTACCATGTTCACTTTCTAGAGGAATTAAGAAAAAGAAATCGAGCAAGTGAACTGAAATCTACCTACTGAAAGAGATATCAGGCTTTCTTCCCAGCAATTTGTACTGCAGCTTCCAGACGCGAAGAAAAATTTCAATTACCATTTATGACGTGTCTTCGTGCGAATCGAAAAACAAAAAGACAAGGAAAAGAAGCGAAACCTTTGCTGTCAGTGTGTTCTGTCATTTGTAGTCGCTGCATGTCGTATTCACGATGTAAACTATACTGAATGGGTTCCTTTCCATCTCGTCTCTCGCCTTTGCATGGCTTCGACGACAACCGTCTGTATCCGCAACTGAACACACAGGATGTCTCGTTTGAGAATATAAATATGAGTATCCCACCTCTGACAAAAAAAAGATCTTTGCCGTTTCAAGTTGTACGTCATGTCACGTGTCGTTTTTCTTTTAAGATAGATAGTAACGCGAAAAGAACAGTGATGTATACATACGTGAAACTTTAGTCATTGAAATGTTTATTCTTACAGAAGAGCAGTAAAAGTTTATATTGCAATTAGGCTGACAATAAAAATTCAATTAAACATAATTCGAATTTTTGTACGTATTGAAGTGAAAACATAAAATAGAGAAAAATTGTAATTCAAGGGTGCATTTCGCTTATACACATAAAGTAACATAAAATAAAGCTGCAATAAAGCTTTATAACAGAAATTCTCAATCAAGGGTAGTGCTTAGTTACATGGAAAATACTGTCCAACAGTCAGTTAACGTTGTGCTTCTAATTATGCGTTTCTTATAGTGTTTTATGCGATGATTATGAATTTCAAACAATTTTTGTTCTAGGCACACAGGATTCAAGAAACGGAACCCTTAAACAGAGGAGAGTAGATTAATCGAGACCCAAACTTACAAAACATATACAAGGATATTAATCTAAAGTGAAATGTAATTTCATATATTTTAAAGAAACCGTATAAAAGGTAAAAAATGATAATAATATGAAATACAAAATTATATAAATTAAAATTGTGGCTCTCTTCATGGTCCGCCGTCCGAGGGTTAAATAAGAGGAGTAGTGGACTTTTCTTCTCCTACATCATCATTTTCTGTAAGAAAAGCTCGGATACTCAGCACTGTACGTAGACACCGCTATTAATTTAATAAATTAACAATGCAATTCCTTGGTCCATCACCAAAAAGCATGAAAGACATTGGGCGTCGCGACGACGCGTCGTGCAGCTTCTGCATCCTTGTTAAACCTTTCGGGATCGGAAACCTCGAGATCTGGATACATGTTAGGATCTCTGTGAAAATTTAGAAAATGTTAGGATCTTTGTAAAATTTAGAAAATGTTAGGATCTTTGTAAAATTTAGAAAATGTTAGGTTTTCTATAAAATTTAGAAAATATTAGGATCTTTGTAAAATTTAGAAAATGTTAGGATCTTTCTAAAATTTAGAAAATGTTAGGTTTTCTATAAAATTTAGAAAATATTAGGATCTTTGTAAAATTTAGAAAATGTTAGGATCTTTGTAAAATTTAGAAAATATTAGGATCTTTGTAGAATTTCGAAAATGAAAATAATATGAAATACAAAATTACATATTTTAAATTGTGACTCTCTTCGTCGTCCACTGTCTAAAGTCTAAGGGATAAAACCCGGTTTTCGTGGTCAACAGATCCGTGGTCGAGCCCGCGCGATGTACACGCTCGGATTGATCGGTGCTTTTCGTTAATAATTTAGAAACTAAGTTTTAACGAGCATTTTGGTAAAGAAAAATTTGTTTAGGATCACCCCAGCTACTACCCTCTGGAAAGATGGCTACCTGTAGCCGAATACGTTGTATAAATATAACTCTTTCTTATTTACAGTCCCTGGCCATCGAATTAGGACCATTACAAATTTCAAGCATTTTTCACGTATTCCGTAAAATTAACAGGCCTGTTCAAATTGTAATGATATAATTTATTAGTTACTAACATAATACACTACTACTATACATAACGCTACTAACACATGTTAATATCTCGTATTTCCACCCTTTGCTTTGATAACAGCTTTATTATATACTTTTTATATCTTCGTTATTTTCTCAAATATCTGTAATTTTTGTCTTCAACTCAAATAATGTGGTGCTTGGAGAGTTGTAAACAAGTCTTTTAAGTAGGCTCCAGACAAACACTCGCACGGCCCTTAATCGCTTATCGCCCACATAATTTTATTTTCATCACAATAGTAACAGATCTATTGCTATGTATACCTGGTTATGAATGTATTTAGTAATAATTTGAATGACGTAAGACAATTTTCCATATATGACATACTATTATAGCCATAAAAGTGAAATTTTCGTACGTAGTCCTAATTCGATGGCCAGGGACTATAGTACAAAATTCATGCCATTATTTCAACCATTTAAAACACTGGATCCAATCCCTTAAATCAGCATGTGTTTCACTACATCCTGCACACATTATAATATTGATAATTAACATAAACTTTTATTTAATGGCGAATGCATTATCTTATCCCTGCCATTTTATCTCATGTTGGTTATGTGGATAAATGATGCAAGCAACTTATAATTCGCTCGCTATAATCATGTAATACATTGGGGGTAATTAATCTAGTGGAGCAACACATTAGTTGTAATTTTAAGGAATTAGTTTGTTTTTGAAACTAATTATTGGACTCAAACAAAGCTTCCAAGGGACATTACCCAATCGACACACAAAAAAATATTTGACACGTATTTTTTTTTATTGGCAATCGTCCATGCTGAAGGGGTGAAAAAATGACAGAAATAGATTATTTTTCAATATATTTTTTAAACAAATAAATTTATCAAAAAGATGGCTATGTAGAAAAATTTGCGGTTCAAAAACACACAAATTCCATTTTGAATTTTTCGCCTACACCTAATAGTTCCTGAGATATTCAAGAAAATATGTTGTGCAACCCCAATTTTGGGGGCTATTTTCACCCCTTCAGCATGGACGATGGCCGATAAAAAAAAATACGTGTCAAATATTTTTTTGAGTTCTATACCATACTCAAAGGTCATCAAAATCGGTGTGTGTCGATTGGGTAATGTCCCTTGTTAGTATGCACATGTATATGTATTACAAATTCATTATAAATTTATAAAAATTGATTTCCAAATGCAATATTTTATTATTAATACATTTGTACTGCAGCTGAAAACATAGAAGTTCAATTACCATTAAAATAATTTTAACATTTAGTTACCGTTTATATTTTATTTTTATCAATGTATAGTATAATATAAAGATAAGATATCAATAATTATTAGCATTATTATTTTGCTTTTAAATTACTTTTGATCGTTAAATTTACTTCTTCATTTTATTGTAATTAATAAATATAAATAACTTCACCGCTTATCACGACAATCTGATGAGTTACAAATAAAATTGCAACGTTTCATAAATCATAAATTAATGAAATAGTAAATTGTAGTTTCGTACAGATCACTTGTTAATTATATTACTATAAAATTAATGGCACGATTTTACTGCATACATTTTTCGAAGAAATTTAACAATGTATGAAACAGGAAAAGAAAGTAATAAATATCTCAACTTATTGCAGAAAACAAGAAGTTGTTTTTTCTTTTCATATTTGTGTCATATAATTTGAAGGCTACCTCCGTTTGTATAAACAAGTAAATAAACAAGTTTATCATAGATTAAATGTTTCGAAATATCATAAACTATAAAAACAAAGATATCTTCATTGATCGTTGATAAGGAGAGTCCATTGATATAAAATTTTCAATAGATTTTTGATAAGATTATTTTGACAAATGTTCTTATTTTTGACATACATAATTGCGTGCTTTCCATAATTTTAGTCCAGTAAATAATTAATAATCATAATTTATAATTTATGAATTTGTTACATATTTGTTTGCTGATTATTGAAAAACGATAATTCTTTTTTTATTTGCGAACTTCATTTATTAAGAAATGTATAATTAGAATAGCATGTAGCTTAGTCATGTTATTATTTAAGATCCGTCGATCTTGATAAGCAGTAAAAAGATCTTATAACATGTGTATCTTGCATGACACTATACTTTTATAAGCACCTTTTCGCCCAGTATCTTTGAAGTGTTTCAAAAACAGACCAAGAAAGGTACACCTATTATTTTCTCTTCCTTTTTCTCAGAATCTACTGCAGCTATCAACTTCAAATTTTTAGAGCATGTAGAGTCATACTAATCGTGTATTTTAGCCAAAACGAATTCTGAAATATCAATAGAAAAAATTATACAATCCGATCAATGTGTGGCCTTTCTTGTACTTTTATCTTTATATTAGAAGATACTGCTATCCTAGCTGTAGCCCAAATTTCAAAAAAGTCTTTACCTAAAATACGTGTCACCCTTAGTAATGTAGAACCAAATGTCACTAATCGAGCTATTAAAAAACAAGGAGTTCGGGTAGTTTAATTTAAAATTATATAAATTAAGTTAAACTCATAATTTGAATGTTATATGATATACAATATATATTATATAATCTTACTATATTTATTCATTATTCAATTTTAATAAACTAGTTCAAAATTTTTAAATAATTTAAAAATGATTAAACGCGAGGGCATTATAGGACCTTATTTTATCCGATGCTAGATTCTACGCGCATGCGCGAAAAAATAAGTCCCATCTAACATCACTGTCCGAGGGTCTACGTGAGGAAGAGGGGGCTTCACCATTTTTTCTAGGGAAGTTTTATTTGACCGCAAGTGTACAATATCAATCATAGTGTCCGTTCGTCTAGTGAAAAAGCATTGACTTTGGAGTCCAAATTTATAAGCAAATATCATAAATCTAATTATTTAATAAAAGCGTTAAAATAATTAACATAATCATCTGATAAAAGCTTTAGAATATTCAATAATTTAGAATTTCAATAATTTATTTGAAATTACAAAATACACTAGACCAGGCCTGTCCAAGTAGGGGAATTTACTCCTGGAACACATGTTTTGGGTCCCCTTCCAACGCTGCTCCTTCAAGCTCCATCTCTCCGAGGAGACAGTACCGCCGCTAGGAAAGACGGAGAGACGGTAGTCGGAATCGTTCCATCTTACTTGAAGGAGCAGCGTTGGAAGGGGACCCAAAACATGTGTTCCAGGAGTGGATTCCCCTACTTGGACAGGCCTGCACTAGACGAACGGACACTATGACTGATATTGTACTACAGCTCGGGACCGAACAGTTGCTTATTACGAAGCAGGAATGCTATTCGGCTCGACGAATGAGAGATCGTCAAGATACGTCACTCGTAGAAACGAGTGAGAGATCCGAGGTAGCGGCAAACGGACCTCTCACTCATTTCTCGGACCTTTCACTTTGCGGGCCACTTGAAACAAAGAAGAGGGGATAGCGAGTTGCTTATTTCGAGGCAGAGACCACTTGCCTATTTCGAGGCAATACTGTATTCAACCGCCTTTACGTACCGCTGGTTGAGAACCGCTATTATATACGAATGATTGCGCGTGGATCCGAGAAGATAAAGGACGTACCTGTGAATGGGCGTCACCTTGAAAAGGAGTAAGTGTCGAAAGAGTGCCTTATCAGCGGCGTAGGTACTATGTAACGGATACTATATGACGAGTATGCGAATAGGTAACGTTTACGTCAATTTCTGGTTCGTTTGCATAAATAATCGAAACGTAGAATAGATCTAGAGCGCGATAATTTAATTTCTTGCGTGGGCTAAATAAAATGTTACGTTCAAGGCATTGGGAGCCATTGGAGTCGATCCTAAAATTAAATAAAACAAATACATTAATTAACTAAATTATAACAGGATTTGAAAAGTATAAGCTATACTTCCAGTATGCATTTATTATGAATATAAAATTTCTGTTTAACTACAGAGGGGTGGACAGTACACATTTATTTTTCAATTATTATAATCGCATTAATTATGTCAGATA